GGAAGTGTCCCGGTCCCGGTCGGCGCTGAAGTGGCCCAGTGGCTTTTAGGTCAAGAAGCGAGGTGAGCAGAGTTATGAGAGGAAGCATGCATGTGGCAGTGTCTGCTTTTCTCCGTCATGTGCGTTTAGGTAGTAACCTGACAGAGTGAATGTATTCCTCTGTGCTTTCTTCCTTTTTTTCCGTCTTAACTCACTTCCTGATGGCAGATGCATTGGCGCTCACCCTTGCGTGTAGTTGCTGAGTGTGTGTGAGTCCTCTTGCTTTTCCTTATGTTGTCTTTCCCCCCCGCCTTTCTTCCCTTTTTTTTTTTTCCGGGCTCAAACAGTGTGTTAACCACCAGATCCCATCGCTATCAATCTTAATGGTGGTGGGTGAACATAAACGCACACATGTGTAGAGTTTCTCTGCAAAGCCACAGTTTAAGAATAATTCCTCCACCAGAAAAAAAAGAGAGAGAGAGAGAGAGAGAGGGAAAATATTCTGGCCCCATTAACAAAATAGGTGCTCTGAAAACACCCCACCCGGCCCAGAGTGATGGCCACTTCCTCAGCTTTTTCCACTTCATTGATGGTTATGTGAGTTAAAACAACCAGCTTAATGGAGACTCCGGGCCCTCGGGGGACTAATCATAGCCACGTGACTTCCTCCGGGGCTTCCATGAAAATAACTCCATTACAATGGCCTGTGATATTAATATCGGCTTTGGGAAAGTCAGGCACGGGATCCGCAGGGAGGGCTCAGTATGAGCAAACAAAGAAGAATGCACGGCATGCTAGGGAGGGCGAGAGGAAAAGAGAAAGAGAGAAAAAGACAAACAGAAGGAATAGTGAGCCGTTTGTGTTGAGTGATAACATACTGCAAAGTCACGACGTTGGCTTTTTCCTCTCTGGTCAGGTACTTCCTGTTAGCCTGGTGTTGCCAGCTCAGATTCATGTCAGTTTGGAGCTGTTGCCGCTCTAAATGTTTTCCCTTTTTTGTCACAATCCTTAATTTAAAATGACGACACAGGAGCGCCGCCTCAGCGTGGATGTAAACAACCAAGATGGCAGCTTCTGCCGCTAGGAGGCCCATTAAATCTAGAGTGACCATAGGTCCTCTTTTACCCAGACATGTCCTCTTTTTTGGGGGGCTTTCCAGGCTTGTGCGGGGGAGTTTATAAAATTCTTCAAATACACCAGCAGAGACTTGATTTGTGTAATGCCAAGGGTCAGAAATGACAAACACACCAAAACAAAGTGACAGCAGCAGGCGGTCAGCCATGAACAACGACGCCGTCTTAAAAAATTTTAAAACCCGTCTACTTTTATACCGATAATGATCCGAACTTGTGCATGACTAGTTTTGCACTCAACTTTTTCAGAGTTTAAAGAAAAATATTGTCAAACGGCCGACATCACTCCTCCTCCTCGCTGCTTTGTTCGTACCTTAGTACACACTGTTGTCGTGATTACGTGGGCTCTACATGCTGGATCAGGGCGCTGCTAGATAGAAATGCTGGAGTGGAGTCTGGAATGGACTGCCTGTATTGGAGTGGTGATTTTTTTGGCTCGTGCGACTCCTGCTCCGGAGCGACTCATAGTCCGGAAAAATACGGAAATTAGTTGTTTTGAAGGTTAACATGTAAACATGTTGCTGTATCTTTAACCAGTGATGGTGAGTACTGTTATTTGTAAGATCAGCAGTAATTAGTGTCGTACACTCATGTATCAAAGCATTATGAATAACTAGGAGTGGTGTTAAAATATCGATATGACAACAATCATTGACACATGAGCACTAAAACTCAAAATTTAACATCGCTAACGTTAAAACAGAGTAAATACTCGTCAGAATTATAGTCATACTCCATGTGAAGAGTTTAAATAAATGATCTAAAGTAGTTATATCAGTCTTACCTGTAATTCTACCTCTGACTACATCACCTGTATGGGACAGTCACGGGGACTTTAGACCGAGTGTTTCTTTCCATGATGTGTCAAATCGTCTCTGCAGATGATTTTTTGGCCGGGCCTCCGTTTTACTGTCACCTTCTCCTCCCCATAAACCTGCCATGCTGTCAGTTCTCCTGTCGGTACAGGCAGTAACTCACTGCCAGCTGCTCTGAGAACAAATTAAACCTCAATGATCGTCGAGTCGCGGGCCGCCGCAGAGTTCACGTCAAACAGACACGTGTGTTCGCTAACGGTGAAGACGTTAACTAGAATCCAAGGTGGACACTTTTTCCTCGAGTTCCTCCCATTAAGGAGAGTTTATTGAACACAATAACACCAGTTTATATAATTTCAGTTTTTAGTCAGGTGAGTCTCCCCCTGCTGGCTGCAAGAGGAAATGCAGGTTAAAGGCGCGGATGCTGTTTGTGTATATATACTTATTTTCTGACTTTTCCCATGATATCCTTTCAGTGCGTGAGATTAAAAACACGGTTACAGATATTTATTTTTCATTCTGATGTCTATAAATCCAGAGTAAGTTGCAGTTTGCACTCTGTAGTTTTGACTCATAAGATTTATTGTAATTAATCCAATTGCAACGAGCGGGGAAGAAATTTGTCATAAGATTAGGGAATTTTCAGCAGCCTGCTTCGACCACAAGGAGTGATGTGGCTTTCACATCTTTAAAGTGAAATATTAGACGGCAGAAGCCAAGCCAAAGAAAAGGTCCTCCTCCAGGGCCCAAATAATTATAAGAGTGCCATAACAGATCAAACATTATTTCCTTGACCTTGTCTCCAGCTTGAGGAACAGCTCAGACTTTTTGGCCGAACGCTCAGGCAGCAGAAATCTCTCTGTCTGTCTGTCTGCAGAGGCTCTGGCTACACGGAGCTGACGTTTACACAGGATTAGAGAGTCATTCAGCATTAAGTCAATGACCCTGTGCAGGCAGGAGCAACACTTTCTCTGCATGTTTGGATTGTGTGGTGCAGATTCCACTCAGGGATTACTTTAGAGGATAAATCAGCTGTTTTGGCAAAGTTGGGATCCAGCGAGCCTGCAGGATCCTCTGTGTACACGGGTTACTGTTAAACATCTCTGTACTTTAATCCACATTTCAGGAGTGGATGTTGATTATTTCAGAGAACAATAGCTTCATCTACGACACAGATGTAGTGTGGACTGAACTCTGCACCTGAGAAAACAAAGACTGTTGTCTTATGTCCATTTTAATTGAATGTACGGAAGTTAAAGCGAGTCAGTGAAAGCCAACATCGTGACCTCAGGTTTGATTTCAGGTCATGATTCAGGACTTTGTTTTCGGGGTGTAACGAGGTCACTTTCAAGTCTGAAAAATTAAACAAAAATCCAACCAAAAAAAAAAAAAATCACGAGTGGAGATTACTGGAAGTGAATCCACAGGTTTCTTGTTTTTGTGTCGCCTCGGGCTTTCCTGTCAGCTGTGACCTCATCGGCGCTACTCCGTGTAATGACATAATTTCAGGAAATGTGGTCTGTTAAGTTGCAAAGCTCTTAAAAAGTTGATGCTTCCTTTCTTAAAGAGTTCGCACCGTGGGATTTGAAAACTGAGCCCTCGTCCTGAGTGCTGAGTTTTCCCCTTTAGCCGTCAAACACTCACACCTGAAAGACCGCAGAGAAAAACGTGTAAAACCCGACCTGATGATCAGCTGTTCACAGAATAAAACACTCACAGATTATAATCCTGACATTTACTCCCTGACTGTGTTACTGCTGCAGGTCCGAAATGACGCTGCTCCACCATCAAACAACAGAAGACAATTTTTTTCATTTCTGCAGAGCGACAAAGACAATTATTGATCAGCACTCGATTTATAAGATTTTATTTTTTATGAGTTTACTACATTTTAACATGATCATGAGTTTTTATAACCGATTAAATTATCACAGGTGATAAAGGTGTCTTATAACAACTTTTTGACTTCCGATACAATACCAAGATTGTGGCTTTCAATAATGACGATACCAATATTGATCCGATATTGGCACAAAAGTGTGCATAACAAGTTTTTCACTCGGCTGCAACATCTTTTTCGGATTTTAACGAAAAATACTGCTACAAGGCCGACATCACTCTTACCTCCAACATCGACCACATCCGGAACATCTACTAAAAGGTCGTATCCTCCGATCGTAGCTGATCGTAACCATTCAAGTTAACGTGTCAATTTCCACCGACTTCTTTACGTTCCTCTGCGGATCAAAATCAAAATATAACACTCTTTTGGAAAGGACAACTGGACCTACTTGGGACGTTTCGCCGAAACGTCCCAAGTAGGTCCAGTTGTCCTTTGGCGAAATGTCCCAAGTAAGTCCAGTTGTCCTTTCAACGAAGAACTGGAAATCATAGATGCTGCATCCTCAGTTTTTAACAACATCTCAAGGTTTACCCCCAATTTCCACCTTTTCCATCCTCCAATCGTAGCTGATCGTAACCATACAAGTTAACATGTCAATTTTTTTGCTGGTATTGGACCGATATCCGATACCAGTATCGTATTGGGACAGCCCTAATAGGTGAGACATATTCACTTTAAATCACCAGTATGCTGTCTGTATCCTGTTATGCATGTTTTAAATCTAGATTTTTTTTTAGAGCAGTTCGATTTCGACCATTTGACCTGTGAGCAGAACAGCAACAGTAAGATCTATACTGAGCTGTGTATTCTGGGTATGTTGGAGACATGAGCGTCTCATTAATATTTACATGAAGAACGCTGTCGTGGTTGGTTTAAGTGACGAGCAGGAGCTTTTACATTCCTTTTTTATTGAAATAATCTTCATTGTTGATATTTAGTTTTATTTATGTTTAAACTTTATAGTTATGCATCGTAGTTAAAGTTATTTAGTGGTCAAAACCGCCTTTTTTTCTTTACATGAGCACAAACTCCGACCGTGACCCATTAAAAAGCTGCTCTGTCTGTGTACAGTGTCAACATTGCTCTGTTTTGCATATGGCTCCCACTCCTCCATCATCACATCAGCCACCTGTCAGCTGAGCACCATCAGCATCTCCACTTGGCTCACAAATGCTCAGCCTGTTCACTGGGGATATGACAGATGCATGCTTTAATGTTGATGTTCATACATACTGTCAGCGTTCGATACGAACATCCAAACCACCAGAGAAAGGTCAGTGTTTTAGTTTTAGTTTTAGTGACTTATTCAGAAAGTTTAACACTCATATTTCTTTGTTTTTTTTAAGAGGATCTTTTCTCTTTTCTCTGTGCCACCCTCTGGAGTTTGGGAGGAAGAAGACTGATTTAGTTCCCCATAAATTACAGAAGTTTTCAGCTGTAGGACTCAGAGCGTAATGTAAACTTCACATGTGGGTGAAGTCACAGCCCTGTTCCTCTGCTCCCCACAGAGCGGGGCAAAGACTTCAGCTTCTTCATGGTTCAGGGTGTGGATTTGTTCTTGGTCAGCACTTAGAAAAGGATTTATTGTCGTAGTCAGACTGAAACTGGACTTTTGAGATGTTCTCCTTCTCTAAATGTAGAAAAGAGACTCATCTCCGCGAATGACTCACTCTCTCCTGATACCAAGAAGGCGTTAATTCCTTTTTTGAGAATCTGCACCGAATGTTTAACACTCCCGATAATTACAGCGAAGAGAGCAGCAGGTTTGATTGATGATCCATATGATACCAGGGTCTCTGGGATAGCTACCCCTCCTTTTTTCCAAAGGTTGGTCCGTTCCCCTCCCTGACATTACGGAGTCACCACCCGACATCATGAGGAAGCTTCTGCAGGGAGCCGTTACTGACGCAGGAGGACTTTTAAATCCTGGATTTGATGGCCTGAGGTTTCAGCAGGAGGATTGGAGAAAGGATGAAGAGAAGAAAATTGCACATCCTTAAGAAAACAAAGAGCATTTCCTTCCTCGTGTCAGGATGAAATAGGGAGGGGAAAAAATAGAAATACACACTAATTCATCATTTGGTTTTACTGCTCCTCCATGGTCCATAACTCACTCTGGCTGTGATTCCCTTTTCTCCTTCAAATCCACCGCCGCGCCATGTTTTAATGACCTTATTACAGGCAATCCTACACTGTCCAATAAAAGGTTAACACTTTGAACTGTGATCCACGCTATGACTAACATGTTTTATAATATCTCGTGAATTAGACGGTAATGGAATAATGGAGAAACCAGCGGAGAACATGAGGAAATCTGACAGATCCCCCTTCCAGACCCTGACCCCGGTCTCCGTGGTTTCACAGCAGGTCCAGGTTGATTAACCTATCGAAGGTTTTGTCAGAGTTTTAATACCGATCCAACAAAGCTGACAGACACGACAGTGGCGTTTATAGTGTAACCTATCTCAAGGCGACTTTAAAGCGCCACCGCCATATGGCGTCTCCATTTTCCAAGTGCTGCTTTAGTGGATTCCTGCGAGCTGTCTGTTTCTGTCGTTGCTCATCATCCTAAAGACAGGAGGGTGTATCTGCCTCGGTCTGTGTCCCTGGTGGACTGTATGGAATTAACTGATTATACAGACAGACAGACGGACGGACACGTAGACAGACTGACCACATGACGTGTTTTCATCCTTGATTACAGGTCACCGTGTTTATTTTCTAAAACTTCATCAGAAAGGTCGCGCCGTAAATCACCGTCTGAAACAATGGTAGCATTTACAGCCACTTTCTTAGAGATGGACTTCACTGGCAGTATCCTCTGGAAACTGCAGCCATAAATTTTATTACTATTAAATGTTTCTAAAGGGAGTTGACAAATAGTTGAATGGAGTTGATTTTCCCCTCCTGCTCTTGGCCGGGGCTGCAGGGAGGAAAAATCTCCCCGTCTGAAACAGGAAAAAAAAAAAAAAAAAAAAGAGGCGCTCACATCGGCGCTGCCAATCCATTCATCCTGACGCTGTTTGAGTGAAATTTAAGCCTTTTAAAAACGCCCGCTGAAAATACAATGTGCTTAAAGGCAGTTGCGAACGTTTTACGAGCGCAATAAAATTGTCACTGCATTCGGATTAGATGGATGTTGATATATGTGTATGAAGATTTTCATGTGCTAAGGTGTTTACAGCTGAGTGTTAATATGTCTTCTGCTGAAGGAGTCACTGTGGCTGGAAATAGTTCTGATTTGACCCTCTGAATTACCCGACAGAAACGGACTCTGAGTTTCTTTTGGACTGAAAATACCTGAAAAATGTCGCTGTACTCTCGATCTGCTCAGTTTACTCGTGATTCTGTTTTTGACGCTTCTTAGAAAACTGTAACCAAGGATTGTCGGTCTGTCTGCTGAGATATTTGGTTCTTAGTCAGTTTAGAAAGCTTTAAAAGTCAAACAGAGTAGAACTAGATACTTAAGAGTTTGAAGTAGGGCTGGGCGATATGGCCTCAAATCAATATCACGATATATTGAGCAGTTCACCTCGATAACGATAAATGGACCATAGCCTACCTACACACATCCAAAAAACAACTTTCATTTATTTATTTTTCTGACACTGGGCAAAATGACGTCAGTTATTGTTGTAAATTCCATTATCTGTAAATTTTGGGTGACCAAAAGTCCTCCTATGCCAGGACATGTCCTCTTTTTTGGGGGGTGTCCGGCCTTGTCTGGGGCGAGTTTATAAAGTCCTTCAAATGTCCGGGGTTTGTATAGAAGTTTGAGTTTGTGTCACGTGGACTTACTGAGTTAGAAGCGTGTAAAAAAAACACTCAACTGACCCGAAAAACTCATAATTTACTACATGCGACTCCATGACTCCGCCCCTGCGTAGATGTATCCTCTTTTTGGGGATTCAGAATATGGTCACCCTACCCAAGACTGGTGGTGCTACCTCCACTAACATTAACCGTACCAAACAAGACTTTACCTTCAGACCCTGTGTTTAACTTGTTTGTTGACCTTTTGGCTGTTTTTTTAGTTTGTCCGGTTGTTTGTTTGGAGTTTTAGTAAAAGGACATATGTTCCTTTTTTTTGTAAAGACCTGGAGAAAGGATCAACACAAGACTGGAAATCAGCACCTGAAAATCTTGATCTTTTCCTACTTAAATCTGTCTGCTTTGCCAAACTAATGTCAGCTTCAATCCTATATATATAAATAAAAAAGTAAAGCTGACGTTTGGCCGGCTGGACTGTTGGGGGATAAAAGTCTGACAGCTGAAGGTTTTTAACCCCAAACTCAGATCCAGTATTCTTCGTGTTCTTTTTTAAAAATGCAAATATTTGCGTCTCATGTTGACCATCAAACAAATCCAACCATAACCAATCAGTGTCACCGATGTTCAACCATTATGATCTGACCTGAAACCTTCAGAGCGACAGTTCCCGGTCACCGTCCAGGACTTAGACAGATCCAGGTTCCTTCCAAACAAAGTGTCCACAGTAACCCCCCCTCTGGAGGAACCAGCTGTCATGGCCGCTTTCTTCCCCTGTAAACAGCATGTTTATTTGATGGATCCATAATTACTTGCGAGGTCAGTCAGAGGACAAGCTCTCATAATCCTCCAGACCAAACATCAAGTATCTGGGAATAGCCTGAACATGGTTTCGCTGGCTCTGGACTCGTCCGACCACATGATGATTTTTTGTGCCGAGTCTTTTTCCCTCCGTCGCTCCGGGTCGCTGTGATTTACGCACATGTTTACTGATGTCTTTCAGATGCTGCTTATTGTCCTCCACTATTAGTTCCCAGATGAATCACCAGTGGACAAATTGAGGGGTGTCCCTGCGGAGTTGCGATATTTATTGAGGTTACGCATCACTGTGGACCCCTCCATCGGCTTCCCAGTGTAAGGAGGAGGAGGAGGGAAAAACAGATGGCCTGCTGCGGTCATGGCATGTTTGGACATTGAAACACTTGGGTTTCATGGTCTTTTTTTATGCCTCTCTGCACATTTGGTTTACATCTTGTTCAGAGATTCTGGCCCGGCTCCTTTTGTCCTTCAGGATGTTAAATACATATTGTCATGATGTTGTTCTGATCCATGGTAAGATTTCAGGATCCTGAATTATCATCTGCTGATAGATCACATCCCCCTGAACGGAGAAGAGGACTGAAAACATCAGTCTTCAGTTCTCGTTCTGGGTAAAAATTCCTCATACTAAAGCAATTCCCTGTTTCTGAGTTTATTCTGCAGTTTGTTCAATTCCCCGTACTATTAGCCAGATGGTAATACTCCAGTGTGTTTATTGTAATAGGGTAAAAATAAATGAACCGCATTGATTAAAGCAGATATGTAAATATTGTGTTCTGCAGTTCTGTTGAGGAGGGAGCCTCACTGATTACCGTTAAGTAAAGAATAATGGACTCAGCTCAAAGTTGAGATGACAATGAAACTATTCGATGAATGCTCCTCGATCTGTTTATGACTCTGGACTTCACCTTTTATGAGTTTGTCTGCAGCTGGAGCGATAATCCCCAAAAACAAGTGACTGAATAACACGGATGTTTCAAACCCCGTTAGAAAAGTTGAAAAGTTACCCGAGTTAAGTAAGAAGTAAACCGTCCCCTCATATGGACGTATTTCTGACATCGTCATTGTTGAACCGCCTGGTTCAGTAAATACTAACCTCATAAAAACCCTCCTGAGATCTTTACATGTTCGCTAAAAATAGATCTGATTGGTCAGTTTTTTCTTGGTCTCCGTCTGTGTAGAGGTGAGGACATAGACTGTAAATACTACGGACAACTTGGTTCCGCCTACCGCCATTATACCGCCATTTGAAGCGAAAAGCTCTTGGTAATTCCTTGTTTTTTCTCCACTTCCTGAAAACAATATTCATAGTTAGTGTCTGTAAAAATACATGAGGAAGAATGGACTGGTCTTTGTGGGCTCGTTCCTCATGATACTGAAGGTGAAGTTGGGAATCAAGAGAAATTTATGATGCGAAATATTTCCCTGCATGACACAAATACTGTGCATCAAATCACGACAAAGTTCCTGCAGAACCTTCAACTGTCCGCAGCCTGAAACAACTCCATCAGCTCCATCTGCTGCTGTCCTCCAACTAAAACAGACACAGACAGACTTCAGAGTGAGTCAAAGTTATAATCAGCGGGATAAAAGCTAATTAGCTAACGAACAGAGGTGATGTGGTCACACAGCAAGGAGTTCAAGATCAGGTCGATAAAACGAGAAGTAGGTGAAAGTAAATAATGCATTATCATGATGTGTTCAAATGTTGGTTCAGAGAAGGAGTTTAAAAAAGGAGGACAGTAGAAGAAAAGACGTCAGGGCGACATCGATAAGGACTCGTCTTTGACGAACCCCTTCCCGAATAATCTGAATACATGAGGAATGTCTGTTAGCTGCATGGCACTTTAATTCTCCCACCACATTATAAATGACCTCAAATTCGGGGTGTCCCGATACAACTTTTGTACTTCCGCTACAATCCGATATTGTAGCCTTCAGTATCGGCCGATACCGATATTAATCCGATATTTGCAAAAAATTGTGCATAACAAGTGCAGTGTCTTCTTCAGATTTTAACGAAAAATACTGCCCTAAGGCCGACATCACTTTTAGTCCTTGCTACTTTGTTAGTACCTTATGCTGCGTTCAAGTTACCTTGGAAGTCAGAGCTTCCCAGCGTTTCAGTAACCAAGTCGGAAAACAAAATCAGAGGCCTGAAACAAGATGGCTACATCTAAGAAAGTTATACTAGTGCTAATATAGGCAAGGCAAGCGCTATTATAACTTTCATTCTTTTTTTCCAACTTGGTAACTGAAACGCTGGGAACTCGGGTGTGACGCCATTTTCAGCTGCGACTTCTGACTTCCGAGGTAGCTTGAACGCAGCATTCATACAGACTGTTGTTGTGATCACATGGGCTCTACATGCTGGATCTGGTTGCTGCTTGCTAGAGGTGCCGGAGTGGAGTCTGGAATGGACTGCTTGTATCGGAGCGCTGATGTCAGAGATTTTAGATGCAGGCCGATATAACCTGATATTTGTTTTTTTGGTTTATATCAGACCGATATCCAATATCAATATTGTATCGGGACAGCCCTACCTAAAACGACTTCTTCTTCTTTGTTTCTGCTGTAAATCAACAGTTAATAGTCCATTCATAGAAATACAGTGTTTTAAATTAGATTATTTATTCGCTGTGTCTTTGATATAGTAGCCGATTATATAACATTTAAGAAAACTATATTAGTGTCAGCCTGAAGTTCTGATTAAAATAACTGGACTTTATTGGTCCAAAGTTTGGTCTCTTTATTCCACAGTCAGCTGGGCTCTCCGTAGATGACTCCATAAACGCTCGCTGATGTTTTGGATACCATCTCCACTCTGTTACACGAGTATCCATCAGCATGACAAGAACTTGGAGGCGAGCAGATGGTGGATGTTTTATCCCCTTTAACAGACACTCCCTGGTAGTGATTACGAACCTACAGCACGGCTCGCTTAGAAACACAATAACACGGGACTGTGGAGAGAAAGCCCTGGAGATCACTTAAAACTACGGCGTATAATTTTCAGATGCATGCTTGTCAGTGCGTACATGAGCATTTATTTTATTTCCAAATCATTTTCAATTCCTCCGTTTGTTTCTCTGCAGCGTCGGCTTTAAGTGAAAACAAATGTAGAGGGAAGGGGAGAGAAGGGGTAACCGCGCTCTCTCTCTCTCTCTCTCTCTCTCTCTCTCTCTCTCTCTCTCTCTCTCTCTCTCTCTCTCTCTCTCTCTCTCTCTCTCTCTCTCTCTCTCTCTCTCTCTCTCTCTCTCTCTCTCTCTCTCTCTCTCTCTCTCTCTCTCTCTCTCTCTCTCTCTCTCTCTCTTCGCCGTCTTTAAATGGCGATACCGGGGTTTGGTCCAGATCTCGAAAACATATGGAAACCCCTTTGAAGCGCGCTGGGAGCAGCTGAGGCGGCTGCAGAACTGCTCATTGTTTACCTTTCAACCCCCGACCTCCTTCCTCCGAATAATAAAAGGTAAAATGTTAAACCTTACAGGGGGCGCACATCGGCTCAGTTCATTAGACCCGGGGTAAGTGAAGACTTCCTAATTCACCTACCACGCCACGGCCCTCCAGAGGATCCCCCGTGTGGTTTTAAAGGTTCGCCGTTACTTTCTCCCAATTAAATGCTGCAAACTGACCCAAAAACCCAGAAAGAGCGGGTTATCTAAAAACCAGCCCGGGTCTGAAACTTGTAATGCGAGTTTTTAATCAAGATGAGTTATGTTTTTCAAAGTGAGTAAGTGTTATTTCATCGTTATAGCTTCCTCCCCGGCTAAATTTAAACCCAGCGGCTGTGCCATTATATTGTGTGGCTGGGAGATGGCCCTCCAGAGAGGAACAATCTGGGCGAGGGGCCTGGATGTATTTATCTTCCAGTTTTTCACCTGTCTTCAGATAGCGTTTCCTTTTTAAGTCAAGCAGTAGGGATTTACTGGGCTGCTTCCTTCCGGGACCCTGTGGAATACAACATTAAACTGCAGGGAGGAGAGAAAACCTGCAGCGCACTAAAATGAAGTTATGTCAAAACCATTCTGCTCTTCCTGGAGTCTTTCCTCGATCCTGCACCAATCCTCCCAGGGCCTGAGAACATTACAAGCCATTCAGTTTATATGAATGGGCACTAACAGACTTTTTCGCTATTCTGATGTGTCTAAATTTTGCAGGCATATCCTGTGGTCCATCAGGCGCAGCCTTAGTTTCAATTTAGTGTCTCCCAGCGGACTCCTGTCTTCCTATTTCATGTGGAAATTGTGTGGAGTTTTCATCCCTGTGCTCTCTCCCTGCTTCAAAGATCAGGATCAGTTTTTCACCAGGGAGATGTACGAGTTAGCGTCTGAACGTTTGGCGAATCACTCACAAACAGGAACATAAAGACTCGCAGTCCTAATGTTGTCGATCAGATCGGGCAGATGATTCGAGGAATAAATAACTGATGGATGACTGTTTATCTGTCTTTGAACAGAGGTCTGCAAAAGTCTTTGAAAAGGGAAGAAAAGCACCTGTATTTTTATTAGCACAGGCTTGCCTTAAACTACTCTATAACGTTTGTGGGCTGCCGGGGGAATCGTTCCTGATAATCTTTAGAGCAGGAGAGCGAGCGGCTTCAGGCCAGAGTTTAGGATTTAATCTGGAGGAAATATTTTAAAAAGATGTCAATGAAAAGAAATCATTAGGAAAAGTTATTCGATTTCACTGAAACTCTCTTAAATGAAACAACCCTCACTTTACTCTGAGATGTGTTAACCACCTGGTTTTCAATGAATGTTCACAGTTTTTATGAACGCAGTACGAGATGAATGTGGCGACACGGAAAGGTCAAAAGATCATAGGGCTGGGCGATATGGCCTCGAATCAATATCAGGATATGAAAATGGAAGCAGACAAACTTTTACAGATTTAATCTACCTACACTCACTCACCTGGCTTCCTGTTTATAAATCATAAATTGGAGTATTAATCTCCATGTGTCAGTGACAAACGCAAACACATATTTTTCTAAAATTTTGAAATGTCCCTTTAAAATTCCTTACTATAACTTCTTTACCACATGTTTGGAGTTCACCTGTGATTCAGAGGAGTCAGGGTTAACTCTAGATTTGGTTAAATGTCTCACATAGGGCTGAGCGATATGTCCTCAAATCAATGTCACAATATATTGATCAGTTCACCTCAATAATGATAAATTGACGATAACTACTCCACAAGCTGCTCACCCCCTCCCACATTAACTTCGTCTACTTCAGCCGCTACAACTTTTGAACCGTCCTCCATCTCCTCACCTGTCTTTCCCTCTTTGTTACTGGATGGGGTGGAGTCACGTCTCTGACGTAGGACAGCGTCTTAAAGGGACATGAGACCATAGCCTACCTACACACATCCAAAACTGACTTTATTTATTTATTTTTTTGACACCGAATATCAGTTATTGTCGTAAATTTTGGTATCAGTGAATTTTGGGTTTATTGCCCGGCCCTAAAAGATCAGTTTCTGCATTCATTCATTAATCAATAAATTTGTAAATTAGAAAACATTTATAATTTTGCTGCAAATATCAGACTTTATTCTCTGATTATTCTGAACACTCATTATACCTAACTTTTAAAAATAATAATGCTGCTCAACTAGGGCTGGGCCATATGGCCTAAAATCAATATCATGATATATTGATCTGCTCACCCCCTCCCACATTAACTTTTTCTACTTCAGCGCTTACAACTTTTATTATTTATATTTCAGAGACTTTTATTTATTTATTTTTTTGACACAGAATATACCGATATGGGCAAAATGACGTTGGTTATTATATCGGTTATATCGGTAAAATTTCGGTTTATCGCCCAGCCCTAAAAGATCAGTTTTTTTAATTCATTCATTAGTCAATAGATTTGGAAATCAGAAAACATTTATTATTTTGCTGTAAATATCAGACTTATATCTCAGATTGTTCTGAACACTCGGGTTCATTTCTGCTCATTTTTACACTTTTCAACAAAAACATGAAAAACCCAAACGACCGCGCTAAGTCGTCTCAAAGTCAAACACCTGAGAGAACTTTGAGACGTGCATTAGCAGTTTTTTATCTTATTTTGTAACCTCCTGAAGTTTGTCAGTGGTATATCTAACTCTAATAAAACTCCCTGAATATTCACCGTCACTGTGGTTGAACGTGTTTCTCTGCTGACTCACTGACTGCTGTGAGGAAATGAGGTTAAAGTTTCACACTAAAGATTTTAACCTTCTCTCCTCCTGTGAGGTTCAGACCACAAAAAGACAAATAAGTGACTGAGGATGTGATGAATCTAATCTGAACTCAGAGCAGTAATGACAGATGTTTGTGTTTTTCCACTGAAATGTTGTCGGTTTAGTCAGGAGTTACTGGGAAGGACAAACGTGACGGATGTGATTTACTCTGGAAAGAAAAAAAAAACAGATCTATTATCTGAAACCTAAACGTGGTTTGTGTTTCTAATAACTAAACTGATGAACAGCTTGTTCATGTCTTCTCTAATTTCATGAATCGATCTGATCTACAGCTGACTGTAAATGCATGAACAAGTCTTTGGCTGAGGATATAAAGCCAGCGTCCAGTTTGAGAGCACAGTTGGAGTAATCGTATCTGCCACAGCTGCCGCTTTATCCCAGATCTAGAGGAGAAATAGATTCCAGGAAGTAAACACACCGCCGCCGCCGCCGCTGTGGCAGCTTTTGCTGAGTGACTCCTTTGTCACCAGTGGAAACAAAAAAAAACATTTTGGATTTTTTAGATGAATCAGGAAGGGTCAGAGTTGAGTGAAGACTTTATTATTATTATTATTATTATGAGTCTGTTGGGTTCAGAATAACCTGCAGCATCATTTTTTAAAGATGTGAGATAATTGTTAAAGTGTTTGACACGATAAAATGGATCTACAAGCTTCCAAACACGCTGAATTAGTCCAACAGCTTTTAGCAATGACCTCAAATCGTCTTATTACATGCCGTCCGTGTTTTCCCGCACATCCATGTCAGATCTTTTACAGCAATTAGCCTTGAACTGGGAAAGACGATCAGCTCCAGTTTCCCATGGCTGCATCCCTCATCTCTGCCTACTTTGAATCTTTCCCCCTGCGTCCTAATTAAGACCTTAATGCTGCCTCCCTCAGGGGATCGGAGAGCCCCCCGCTCCCACCCGGCCCCACATTCCCTCTCCAGCCATCAAAACTGTTATGATAATAGTCAGCTTTGCACAGGTGCAAATTGCTCGCATTTAGGCCGCGTTTGCTCTCAATTGCAGATGATCATCAAAGCTTAACTTAGCTTTGCTCACAAGGCGCAGATTAGCGCAGAAGTCAGATAAAGGTTGTAGCTGTTCAAATACGGAAATTAAAATTAGATCCAAGCATGTGACTTTGGAAATCTGATCAACTTTATTCACCGTATTCACAGTACAGTGGTACAGAGTTTGTCAGACACCACAGTCCAGGGTGAAAGCTGGAACTCAGGGATCAGGGTCAGACCTGGAGGAAAATCAAGATTATTACAGATTTTCTTATAAACAACCTTTTCAGAGTTGATTTCAGCATTAAAAGAATTAGGGCTGTCTTCCTGCACATGTTGTTTAGTAAGTGTGTTGTTTAAGTGGCTACATCTACGAAAGTTATTATCATGCTTGTCTTGTCCGAACAAAAGGCAGGCGCTAAAGTAACTTGCGTAGACGTAGCCATCTTCTTTCAGGCCTCTGATTTTGGTAACTGAAATGCTAGTTAACTCGGGTGTGACGTCATTTTCAGCTCCGACATCTGACTTCCGAGGTAACTCGAACGCAGGATTAGGCACAAAGCACTGATGGGTCGGTCTTGGATTGGTTATCTCGGTCAGTCAATCAGAGTTACTGGAACTACGGCGAGCCAAGTTTATTATCATGAAATAAATAAATACAGGTTATTGAATGGGGAAAAATAAGCGTGAGAAATGTGAAGTGCGGCGCGTGAGAACGGGTCAAACTGCGTGACTGTCACACTCAAAGCGTTTCGCTGAAGGTTATTCATCAAGAATCAGCCGAATGCTGACTTAGTTTTATTGTTTTAACTTCAGACAAGTATCCTGCTGGATTTTTACAATAAATCTGTTTTTAGTTTCTTACAAATTAAATCAGATTTTCTACTTTAACTCGGTTATAGAACTGCAGGTCAGTTTCTGAAGACGTCCGTCAGATTTTGTCCAAATCGGAGCCCGGTTGTTGTCATCATAGTCCTCAGCTCTGCCTCATGATGTTATTTTATTAGTACCTGGTACAGTAATAATAACATGTTCACATACTTCCTCCCCTGACCTTCTAACTATTGAGCTGAACCGCTGCCACATAATGTGTATAAGCTACCCAGGGCAATTACAGAGACCCCGGATTGAAAGGGAGCTGTCATTAGGATGTGCTTTCACATAGTCTGGCTGCCGGCCAAAGCTGGCAAATGGGGGGCCGCCCGGGTGAGGAGAGCTGGGGGGCCGGGCCAGAGGCCGTGGGGGATAATTAGACAGTTTTATCCCAGCTTGTTGATATAAATGTGGCCGGTTTGGCCCCCCTTCGCCTCGCTCGGTGGTAATGATCATGTCTAACAGGTGGCAGGCAAACAGACAGGAGGGGTGAAATGGATCCCTCGTTTCCTGGCCGCGTCTCCTTTTTTGTTTTGTTTAGTTTTCCGGTCCAATGGCGGCCACCTTCCCGCCCCGTCCGTCCGTCCGCTGTGGTTTTTGTTGATGCAGGGAGTGTTGGATATTTGTCACCATCTCATCACTTTCTAGCTAATCTCAACGTCCCGCGGGACCCTCGCGCCGCAGGCAGGCCGGCCCTGCAGAGGCTAAAACCAAACACATCCATGTGTTTAAGAGAAGTGGAGTTTTGGAGTCTGAGCAGAAGAAAGTTGACCCGTCTCTTAAACAGAGACTCAGTCCTGGTCCATGTTTACATTTTTCCTTCCTCATGTCTCAGTCCTGGGAGCAGCCTGCTCTTATATTCTTCTACTTTATGACAGAGAAAACTTTGATCTAATAGAGAAAACATGTTTATGAAGACATGGAAACTAACCCCTTCTCCTCCTTTACTCCCTTTTCAGGATCTCTGTGATGTGTTTTCGGAGTTACAAGCCTCTGGATTGAGTCATCTGTGACATCAGGCGCTGAGCACAGCTCTGCACATCCAAATCTCCTGTATCCTGTGCAGGGGGGGCCCTCTGCTATTGAGGTATGCATGTGAAGAGGCATTGGAGACCACTCAACTCCAGGCCCCTCATTCACTGTCATATAATGGATCATTTGGGGCAAAAAGAAGTAGAAAAAATGAAGCATGTATCCAAATTTATTGCCTCCCCAGAAATGTGTGGAATAGATTCAGGAGGTCGGAGGACAAAGCTCGCTCTCTCTCTCTCTCTGTCTCTCTCTCTCTCTCTCTCTCTCTCTCTCTCTCTCTCTCTCTCTCTCTCTCTCTCTCTCTCTCTCTCTCTCTCTCTCTCTCTCTCTCTCTCTCAAATGTTTTTTTAATTTTTCAAACCTGTTGGGAAGAAAAGTTTGATTATCTCCTGTTGATTTTGTGAAGCTCTGATTTGTTGCCGTTAGACGGAGGCGAGCGCTCGCTGTAACATCCACACGGCCTCTGCGGTCGCCTGCGTCCAGCTGATTGAGGAGGCGAGGATCCAGATTTAGGAGTTTGATCCTCTCTGGCCGGACTGCACCGCGAGATTTTGTTATAATTTTCACCTAGCGAGTTTACCCTAAACTTAAACCCTAATCTTACTCTCATCAGAGGCTTAAAGTCGAACCCCGGCTTTAAATAGGGCTGAAAAAACATCTTTTATGTCGCGGACTCTCTAAGACATGGCCGTGTTTTTTCTCCTCTGTGGTTTGGCACTGCGAAGTGAAAAGCGTTTTAGGGTGTTTTGTGGGGGAGTTGGGCTTTCTCCGAGTTGCCTGACGTGATGTCCTCAGACCTCTGGGTCACTCCGCCTGCTGGTGGTGAGGATTTGGTATTTTTGTAGGAATTACCACGTGCTCAGATCTCCGAACTGAGTGATAAATGGTCGTTAGGACCTGCGGCCAGAGCAGGAGAAGGTCAGGAAAGCTCTCTGGAGACGGGAAATGCTGGAAACGTATCGCGCTCGCGACACTCAAAGCTCATCATCTATATTTGTTTGATTGCCGGCCACAGCTGACAGCAGCTCATCCCGCTCTGCAGAGACAACGCTGACGGAGACAGAGCTCATTAATAGCTGAAGACTCTGTTCGGTATTTCTTTTCTCTCACCTCGTCGCTCCTCCGCTGGAGTTTTTTCCTCCATGTGCTCCACTTTCCGGAAAGATCTTGGCGTGCTTTGTCACAGCGGAGCGGGTTCAGCGGCTGCAGGTCACGGCGGCAGTAACAGAGCCGCAGAGAAGCTCCATTGCACTGCACATGGAGCGTCATATCTAACATTTGTGTTTTGAAGCATTGAGTCTAAGTGATGCAAACAGACTCGAGTTACACCGCCTCCTTTTGTGTGCGATGAAATAAAGCGGATCATGAACCGTCCTTTTTTATGTCTTTATAAAGCTTTGAGCTTCTTCTCAAAGGGTTTACCGGGTTTTTCCTGGCTACCAAGATAAAACTTTTCAGATGTTTTTTAAGGTTATTTTTGCTTTTTGAAATTCTTTAACGTCCCCGAAGAGCAGTTTGGTTTGCAGCAGAAGATAAAACACAGAAAGAAAGAAAGAAAGCAAAGAGCAGAAATAATATAAACAAATACATGTGAATAGATCGAGTCAGCACAATTTCATCAATCTTACAGCTTATTCAAAAAAAACAATGGCTGTTGGGACGAAGGATTTCAGATACCTGTTTGATTTGGCTTTGCAGTAAAAGTGAATCTTCTCTCTGACGGGAGAAACTGGAATTCTGTTTGGAGAGGATGGAGGGGGTTCGTCAGCATGACCTTAAAAACAGAGTCAAGATCATTCAGACTCATGCCAGCAGCTTTTTGGCAAAGTTTCACAACATTTCTCAGCTTATTTTTATTTGCGATACTGAGATTAACAAACCAACATCTCATTGAGAAGGTTAAAATGGACTCAATAAAACAAGGAGAGTAAAACATTTTAAGAAGATTTTTAAATTTCCTCAGATAAAATAACCTCTGATTTGCCTCTGAGTTTGTCATCCAGGATGGTTCCTCGGTATCAATACTGATTGATTACTTCTACAGCTTTACCATTAACGAAGCTTTGGGCTGGAGCAGGTCGATTCTTACGGAAATGAAGAATCATGTCTCTCGTTTTTGACACGTTAAGTTGCAGAAAAAATCTTTACACCATTTAACAAAATACTCAAGCACAGGACCGTGTCCATCCTCATGATCTTGCAGAAGTCTAATGAGCATGGAATCATCTCAACCATTATGACAAATTCAGTCCAAAACACCAACAACATTTGGGGCAAACATGAGTCCTGAAAATGGGACTGAAACACAGGTTTCATTTGTTTGAACTTTGTGTAAAATCCCATTTTCTTTACCTTCCTTTTTGCTGCATCAGAAACCAACAAGTGATTCAGATATTTGACTTGATGAACTTTTTTACCATCATGACCTGACTGAGTAAAATACTAAGACAAGAGTGATTCATTCTCAGCTGCCACCGTTTCACCCCAGCCTGTTGACACTGTGGTAAAAACTTTATTTAGTTATCATCATAAATACTCCTGTTTTAAGTTTCACTCTGACTGATGTAAGCTTTAATTGAAATGTTCAGGGTTAATCCAAGCCAAAAAAACTCCAAATCTGAGGATGTCAGATCTGATAAGACACCAATAAACTCTGAGGTGGTCGTTCTGACCTTTAGACCCAGAGAGGATAAATGATATCCAGCAGCTTCCTCATCTGCATGTCCCTTCCTGACCACCGTCTCAGCTGTTCACCTGCGACTAAAGCTCATCAGGTATCTGCACAGGTTGATTGTCACTGGAGCTCATACAGATCCTTTAAAGAGCGCCCTCTGCTGGAGCAAACCGTCAGATTAAAGCAGATGTAATCTTCATTTTGTACTTTAGTTTTATTGAGAGGGTCGTGTGTTAAAGAGGAGCAGGCAGCAGACAGGTAAAGGTGAGAAGAGGACGGTGTTCATGAAGTGATTTTCATATTTTGGTCCAGAATTTTTTTACTCTTTTTCTCTCTTTGGAGGAGATTTTTCCTGCAGAGCAAAAATAAATAAAAACATGATGATGAGGAGAAGAAGGAAGAAGAAATAAACAAGATTAAATCCAGTGAATGTGATAAAAAGATTATTAATGAGAGGTGTAAACGTCTCTCTGAAGAAACACTTTTATTCTTCATCTTCTTTCTTCTCTTTCACACATTTAAGGGACAAATCCCTTCATGTTTTTCCTTTTTCCATGTTGACTCAAATATTTCTGACCCGAAGGTGACGCCTCTGATTCCCACTCATGCAGCCGGTCGCCGGTCTAAATTAGTCTCTCTTTGTCTTTGTGTCTTATTCCTGTCCAACAGCTCTGACGTCCTCGACCTCTCCACAATATTGCCCTGTCATTGTCTGAAGCTCCTGGCAGAGAGGTTTTATTTTTAGACGACTATTCCTCCAACGCACAAGTAAGTACATCCGTGTTTATGAGGGACACGCAGTCACAGCGAAGTTTGAGGAGAGTTTACACCTGTTTTTGTCCGCACAGGTCTGCAGTTTCACTCTGCAGGTAAAAATGAAAACTATTAAACAATAACAGGATCTAAAAACTGTTAAAAACAAGAAATATAAAAGTTATGAAACATGATCCAAACAGGTGTTTTCAGCCTCGCTGTTTTTTCCCCTTATTTTTAATTTTATCGCCAATTTTCACAACTTTCCTTTTCTCCAGTGTTGAAAACTCTGGAGACATTATTCAGCTCACTAATGAAGCTGTTTAATTAAAAGTGAGTCCTAAAATAATGTCTGCGGTGGGAAAAGTCCTCCTGGTCCTCAGCCTCCATTATTACAGACATTAATAGAGTCCATAAAACTCAAAGGCCAAACTGGAGATGTTGTTTCATCTCCTCACACTCCTCAGTGAGAATCGGCGAAGCCTTCAGCCACGGCCAGGTTAACAAAGACAGGAAGATTAAATAATACATTCATCACATTCGGAGAGGCCGGGGGCCAAGTTCATGTCAAATCCATAACAAGCAGAGTATCCTCGGCCCGGCTCATTTCCCCACACGCACGTCACACTCTGCTGGAAATCTACGCAGTCAGGATGTATTGATCTTACTGCTGCTTCCTTTCTCACAAGCGCACAAACAGAGCCGCCGTATCACAGGCAGCGCCGCAAAACAACCTCCCAGCCCCATAAAACAAAATAATAAACTCGCCGCCTGCCAAAATAATCCCAGCTCTCTCTGTGTGTGGACGCTTTTGTGTGCGTGCAGCCCGGGCTAATGCACTGTTATTTGTTTCCTTTCACTTCAGTAGATCAAAATAGCCTCTGCGTGAGTGTGTGTGTGAGTCAGTGTGTGTGTGTGTGTGAGTGAGAGAGGGAGAAGTGAGGCATGAAAACTGGGTGAAGAGACGTGAGCTTCTCTTCGTACCGGTTTATTACTCTGCTCTTAAAGATAAACGTGTTTTTTCCTGTGATCATCTCAGTAAAAGTGAAAAAACTTCAATGTAGAAAAACTTGAAATACAAACAAAAACATAAAACTGTCGTTTAAAATCCAGTAGGGTCTTTGTTTATCGCAAAATGACGAATTACTCGAGTTTTAAATGCGGCGTAAAGGCTGTAAAAACAATTAGAGGAACTTGTATTTTGTTGTCAGTTTAACTGGGATCTTCATGTAATTGTTGGAATAACTCGTTATGTTTTAAAAGTGTTACAAGTTTAAAATAATTTAGTTAAAATGAGTCAAAAAGATAATCGTTAGTTTTAACTACAGGGACCCTGTTTCACACAAGAAACTGTCCTGACAAAACAACTTTACTGTAAATTTAAGCTAAGTCATCCTACAGAATAAAAGTAGAAGGTCATTTGACTGATTTTATTTATTTGTTTTGAAATTATTTTAAATGTTTTTAATAAATTCTCCCAAATTCAGCTGAATGAAAAAGTTTAATCCAGCCTTAACACAGACTTTCAATTTAAAACAGACATTTTTCTTACAGTGTATTGTCCAGTAAATAGTGATTTAACTGTATTTCAGTAAATAAAAACTGTTTGGTTTTTAAAAGTTTAAAAAGTTGAAGGATTATTGAAATATTCCTGCCATAAGACCCACTTTTAAACTTCAGAGTGTTTCTGCAGATGAGCTGGGATCAGGTCCTCTATAAACTTTCTGCTCAGTAATCCGTCACCGCTCTAATCAATCTAATCAATCAGAGTAAAGAAACTTCTACACTCTCTGTGTTTCTGTGTCATTATCACCATCATATCACCGTGAAGCTCCAAAGTTACACAAACTGAGAAACCGTCAGCTGACACAGATTGATCCAGCACAGATGTTCGTTAGTCACTCAGTCGTATTTTTTAATCGGAGCAGCAGCAGCAGCCTGAAACTGAACCTCACAGCTGATTAAAAAGTGATTTCTCAGTTACTGTAAACTCTTTGTGTTTTTAGTCGCTCTGTATCCTTAAACAGGAAAAGTTCACGATGTCTACCCTCCTGATTATCACCGTGTTTGTGCAGCCTGTGATTACGCTGATGTTCAGATTATGAACTGGATGATCAACATGTGAACTCAGACACTGAGTGAAAACAACAGACAGGGCAGTGAGTCCTGACAGCAGAAACTAAAAAATAAAGGTTTAAGTTCCTCCTTTTTATTAAAATCACCTTAACTTTCATCACGAACTGTGAGCCGACAGAAATCTGACACCAGAATAACTTTATTTACTGCCTCCTCCTCCTCAAATGTGTGATTTTACAAGACGAGAAAAAGTGACTCCTAGTGGAAACAGGAGGTGAATGGAGCATGAATACGACAAAGACAGGACTCTGTAATAACATCATTATTGTGTCGTTACTGTAGGGTTAAATGAAGATCATGAAACTCACTCTTAGTGCTTTTACTTCGTCCCACTTTGAGAGAATATCAGCTGAACTCTGACGTGATTTTGATGCTAAAATAAACTTGTTTATAGTTTCAGTCGTGGAGCTGTGTAAAAAAAAAAAAGAGAAAATATTAACTACAGCAGATATATGAACTCCTTAAATTTTAATTTTTCTTCAGGGATCAATAAAGTTCTTCTTCTTCTTCTTCTTAAATAACCGTTAATCTCACCTTTGTTGTTATTATTATTATTATTGTTATTACAGTGTGAAACAGAGTTATCTCACCTGGCCTGAAGAGGTTTGACTATGAAATGACTATTAATGAAAGTCACAGCAGCACATGTTAATATAAATAAGATTAAAGTTAGGAGTAAAGTTATATCATTGGTTTTACAGACACACTTACAGATGCATGAGTTTATTTATATATTAAAGTATAGATTTAAGGTTCTGAACTTGATTTCATCTCTTTACTGGAGAGGAGTGTATTAAATATTATGCAATTATTATTATTTATTATGCAAAAATATTAAATTTACACAAAATAGAAAAAGTCAGAGATGATTTATTAATGTGCAAAAATCAGTAGTAATTGTGGAAAACTACTTCTAGTTTCTCTGTGCTTAAAGGAAGTCTTTTTAGATCTGAAGGATCTGAACCTGCTGAATTATCTCATCAGGACTCGCTCCAGTCAGAGTTCTTCTTCCTCATATTATGTAAAAGAGTTTTGTTGTCTGTTGAGTTGTCCGGTTTAGGATGTGACACATCTGTGAGCGGCGGTCAGAAGGATTTTTATTTTTTATTCCTAAATCTTTTTGTACTTTTTGATCACACTCACTGAGACTCTGAGATCCCGTTATTAGTGGAGCGATAGAGAGATTTAGAGGCTGAGTAACAGTGTGTGTGTTTGCTGACAGAGTGATTTTTGGGCTTTCTCTCTCTCTCTCTCTCTCTCTCTCTCTCTCTCTCTCTCTCTCTCTCTCTCTCTTTCTCGGCACATCGACTGAAAACACCTGACTTCATCTCTGACATGTGCGTTTTAAACCTCGCTGCGTACGCTACAGGTGTTTGTTGAATTTCACGTCCCCTGGGCGCTTAAATACGTTTCACAGTCAGTCCAAGAATGTCAGAAATACATGAGGTGTCATTCAGGAACGTTAGAATAAAAAAATCTGAGTGTATATCCGCAGATGTAAAAGGTTTTACTTCCCTCTGACAGTTTAACAGCAGCCAGCTTCTCTCTGACTCAACGTCTCCTCTCTGAGCTCGTCTGAGCGCGCTCATACCCATCGCCAAGCTCGAGCCCCTCGACTCCGCAGCTGTGTGTGGCCTCCGTTCATGCGGGGGCTACCAACTGGTTGATTATCCCCCCGGCATGGGGGAGGAGGCCTGCAGGCGGGGGGATTATGGGAAAGGTTCAGGGTTAACCACTGGACATAAGAGACATCTAGATCCTGATGTTGATGTTGATGTTGATCTGTGGAAATGTGTCAAACTGCAGAAATCTCCCACCACGATAATGTAGCTGCGATCATTTAAACCTGTCTCTATATTAGTGATCAGTAAAAACAGGTTTATTATTCTGCTAATACAAACACATGTTAACCTCATTTCTTCTTCAACACACTGATCTAACAATAACTTGAAAAAGGAAAATTATTTCAGTGTGTTTAAATATTGACTTTAACCTTTGACCTCTAAAATACTGAGTTGATTTTATTTTTGATTATCAGTCATTTATGAATGAAATCAAAACAAAGGAAAAATCCAGGAAACACGACCAGATCTGTGCAGCTTTATCAATCATCAATCAATCTTTATTTATACATCAACGCCAATTCACAACAAGTAACCATACTCTTGTTTTAGGGCTGGGCGATAAACCGAAAATTTACAAATTTACGAAATTTACGACAATAACCAACGTCATTTTGCCCATGTAAATATATTTGGTGTCAAAATAAATAAATTAATAAAAGTTGGTTTTGGATGTGTGTAGGTAGTAGGGGTGGGAGAAAAAATCGATTCACATAGGTATCGCGATCTTTTGTTTTACAATTTTTTAAATTAATTTTTATGTTCAAAAATTTATATTTCTACATATATTTTCAAATTTGGGAACAAATCTTAAAAAACTGACTAACATGTGATGTGTATTTTTGGGGTAAACATGGTTCCTGGAATAGTCAGTAGACAATCATAATCATTCAACCGTTTCACTGGCATTAAAAATGCAGATAAAAAATTGAGAAAATCGACAATATCATAGAATCGCAATTTAAATCGAATCGGCATCCAAAAAATCATAGAGGAATCGAACCGGGAGAAAAGCATATCGTCCAAGCCCTAGAAAGCCCAAATGGTGCTATAATAGGGCTGGGAGATAAACCCAAAATTTACAGATACAGAAATTTACGACAATAGCTGACGTCATTTTGCCCATGTCAATGTATTCTGTGTCAAAAAATTTAGTTAGTATATGATGTGTGTAGGTAGGCTATGGTCTCATGTCCCTTTAAGACGCTGTCCTACATCAGAGACGTGACTCCACCCCATCAAGTCTGTAACAAAGAGGGAAAGACAGGTGAGGAGATGGAGGACGGAGAGAAAGTTGGAGCAGCTGAAGTAGACGAAGTTAATGTGGGAGGGGGTGAGCAGCTGGTGGAGTAGTTATCATCCATTTATCGTTATCGAGGTGAACTGATCAATATATCCTGATATTGATTTGAGGACATATCGCTCAGCCCTACTCTGTTTACAAAGACCTAATGTAAACCAATGTAAGGTCTTTACAGTAGAGAGGAAGAACTTCCTTTAACAGGCAGAAACCTCGAGCAGGACCAGACTCATGTCTCTGTACTGGGTTTAAACAGGAGATAGAGTGAGAAGGAGAAAGAGAGAGAGAGAGGGAGATGGACAGAGGAGTGATGGATGCTGAAGAGCAGACAGCAGTGATCGAGAGGAACTTCCAGTATGATGGAGTTCAGGGTCTCAGAGTAAAGACTGTATCAGTGACTCTGAAGGGACAGACAGGAAGAGGATGGAGAACGAAGGAAAGGTGCTCTATGTGTCCGTACATCTATAGCAGCAAGTCTTGGTCTTGACCTGAACCAGCTCTAACTATGAGCTTTAGCATAAAGAAAAGTCTAGAGGTGCATTGTGGGTAACGCAGATTTGCGGTCATAGATTTTTAAAGAGAAGTTTTTTTTTAATAGACCGAAGTATCAGGTGAAGCTCCTGGCTCTTCTAAATCCCTGAAAAAAACCACAGCCTCTGGTGGCTTGTTGCTTAAATGAAACCTTAATAGTGAGTTATTTGCTGTCCTAATGAGCTCAAATATAAAAACACACACACACACATGAACACACACACACTGTACTTGACTGCATCTGCTGCAGTAGGATCCCCTCGGCTATCCGGTTTCAGCCCGCCTGGTCAGGGTCTTGCATTAGTGGCGTAGGAGAGCTGTGAACAGGGAGTATCGGGTGCTTTAATATGGAAATTCCTTTGCAATGCAGAGGCTGCAGGATTGTGCGATTACTTAATTCATTTAGCTGTGTAAATGTAAGGAGGGGGGTCAGGGTGTGTGTGTGGAGGGGGGTCTGATTTACGGAGGGATGATCGGGCTGCGTGTGTGTGTGTGTGTGTGTTTCAGGCAAAGCCAAGTAAAAACGGGGCCTCGCTCAGTAACTCCACATCGGGCTTTAGGGCTCCAGTTTCACGTGTCCAGGGAACAAGCCATTAAGAACGAGCTCCGAGACCCACGAAGCCCACACTCCCCGACCATCAGTACCCACATGACCAATCCCAGACTCTGATTTGTGGTTCCTGACATTTTAATTCATTGGAAAACACCAGTCAGGACCCAGGAGTTAAGTAAGTCCATTAACACTATGCAGGAGTAATGCTTTCCAGTACGGTGCCAGCTCTGCCACCCAGTATGATCAAGCATGGAGGCCCGGTGATTTCACAGTGGGTGAATATTTCCTGGATGTTTTACCCTGAGCCCGCTGACAACCTAACATATAACTGTATTAAACTAAAGTGAATTATTATTTCACTATAAATAATCCCATAATAAGAGAACATCAACACATATTACAATTAACAGACAACAGGCCGCAATCCCAGCTGTAATCGCTGAGGGCCGAACTGAACCAACACGCTTTAGATTTTCAGTTTATAAATAACGAGCAAATTAATAAGTGAAGCAGCCGGACGGGTTCGTCTCGCCATTTTTCCCAGCATGCTTTGTGTGTAAAAGTAGCCACTTATTTCTTTAGAGAGAGAGTGCCATCTTTGGGGTAAAAGAAATCGGTCACTTCAGTGTTCAGGAGGCAGAGACTTTTTTACCTTTATACCAAAGTTTACATCGATTACTACAACACTGACACTCATATGTGCCTGGAGCGTCGTCTGTCTGATTCTGCACGAGAAAAATATACTAACTATAAGAGCTTTTCACTGAAGATGGAGAAAATAAGTCTGAGCTTCAACTTTAATCAGACTTTGATGTAACTACAGTCTGTAGGATCACTAGCTGCGTTTACATGAGCACAAATAATCGGAATAAAAATGCATCATGTAAACATGTCAATCGGGAGATTCTAATCCAATTCAGCTCAATCGGAAATAAATTGTATTCCAATCGAGGGATCATTATTCCAAAACATGTCCATGTAATCACTTATTCCGATCGTGACTCTCTAACCTGATTCGGTCTTCACTCTTTAGTCTTTAGTTCATTTATTGAAGTCAGTACAGGAAGTTTCATTATTAACACAACCACAGGTGTCGTGTCTGCTCCCCTGATAACATCACAAGACGTACATACGGCGTAATGATGTCACATCTACACGCACGGTGCAACCTTTGACAGAACTGTAAAATAAGTAAGCAAGGGCGCCATCTAGTGACGACATTTAACAGAGGGGAAAATCCTGAATTAGATGTAGTGAAGGTCCGTGTACTTAGCGGTCAAATGAAAAAACAAAAATCGGCAAAAAAGAGCCGTTCTTATTCCTTTTCACGCCGTATTCCTGAGGGTGTTACTGTGCTAACGAGAGCCTCTCGCTTAGTTGCTCCAAGTCACAACTTCAAGGTCGCAACAAACAAGTGAATGAAACTTGAAATAAGAGATTTCCACACGTGTATTTTGATCTTCGATTTCTGTTTAAAGCCACATCACAGAAAGTCAAATATTGAGTTTGTTTCGGTTGTTTTCTGCTTTTTGTTTTTCATTTCCCTACTGGTCGTCGGGAAACGGCTCGTCTTCTGATTGTCATTTTTTCATTCAAAAACGAAAATCCTATGGCCGCCAAGTACACGGACCAGTGAGCCATGACCGTGTTTGTTGGTTTGTTGGTTTGTTGACAGCACAGGAGTAAATACAACTCTTCTTCTTCTTCTGCAGTTGTTTTAGAGAAATCAGACAACTCTGTGCATGTCCAAATGCTTCTAATCTGAATAAAACTTGGTGCATGTATACTCACATCATGATCGGATTATTTCAGTTTGGATTCAGATTATCTGATCCCTCAAATTTTTAATCAGATTAAGAAATTTTGCACATGTAAACGTGGCTAGTGAGACTTTCTATGAGAACCTTAGAGAAACAAACCGTTCTGACACACATGGACATAACTTTATAAAACAAACACAGACAGTTTTCTGAAGTTTGATCTGATTTACAGTAAATTGTGTTTGTGTAGAGGCACTAATGTGAAGTTTGAGTCCATCCTTATAAAGCCTTCTCTCCTAACCTTCACACTTCTGTAAGTTTTTCCAAATACTGTTTTTCACTTTGTGCATAACTGTCCCTGCAGGTCACTCTCTGACTTTGTTGCTGAATCCAGTGTGGAAAATTCAGCGATAAATGAATAATTATAGGAGAATTAAAAAGAAATGAGTGTGCAGCATTTCAACACTTTGCAGTATATTGACCCTAAATTGAGTTATGAGGACGCGCTCCTCCTTCCTCCTCCGTCTCTGTCTGGATTTTCAACACAGTATAAAGTCAGAGACACATTTTATCAGCTGTTGTATAAATCCAATGAATCCATCATATCCCCAAAGGAGACTCCCAGAAAATGATTTCATTGTTCTCTAATCCATTATGTGGAGCAGCTATGTCAGCTGAGCTGTAAATGACTCAAAACACAGCTGCTGGGGAAAGGAAAACACCGAGCCAAAGTCCGCTCCAGCAAAATGGAAAAAGGTGGAGTCGAAAAAAGCTGTTCAAACTATCTGACAGATTCGATACGCTCTGCAACGTGTGACAGAGTTATTAATTTGTGGCCCGGGTCTGTTAAATCTATCAATCCATTATTCTAACAGGAACCTAAAAGGCCTGCGGGTCAGCAGTCAGTGAGCCCGATCTGTTGTTTTTACAGTCGAACGTCGGTTTATCTTCCATTTTAAGACGAGGTCGGTTCACTGCGCCGCGTTCAGACGGAGTCTCTGCATGTTTTACCAGATTATCATTTTAATAGTTTAACAGAGACGTCCCATTGGCTGTTTTACTCCAAATTAAACAGCTGGAAGTCGGAATAGAGGACGACAGAGAGTCAATGTGATCATCTATGAAATGAGAATACAGGACTCATCATAAGGAAAGTCTTGATATGTGGACGGTTCAGTTTTAAAGGGATATTCCGGTGTGAAATTAATTTAGGGTCAAACACACCATAACACCGAGTTAGACCCCCCCTCCAGAGATGAATGTTGCCGACCTCTTGCTTCTCTAATTATACCAACTTTAGTAACGACCGCAGGATAGAAATACAGAGAGACACGCGCTCAACCAAAACGCCACTCTATAGCCACAAATAATGCTCAGAACAGCACCTAACTTCATCAACAGGACATATAGGGTCACAGCCATAGTACTAGACACCAAACATCTTTTTAACTTTGACTCATTTCTTTAGCAAAGAGACTAAACACAACTCACCTACTCGACTACAGCAACCGCTTGTCGGGCCAGTCCATTACGGACTACAGCGGGGTGCCGCAGCTCAAGGAAGAACATTTATGATCATTACTTTTTCATTTCCTTGAGGTAATAATCATCATATTAATCATTTTGCTCTGCAGACGCGGTAGTTGAGAAAGTAATGATCATCAAAGTTCTTCCTTGACCCTCTAACCTGTTGGTAACTCTGTCGTTGGTAACTCTGTCGGTATGTGGTGGGGTCTCACAGCGGTGCCAGCAGGAGTTGCAGGGGGCACAGGAGTCTTGGAGGTCCTGGTTTTACGACACAGCACTTCACCATGTCCACACACACACACGGGGCTCTGCCAGGACTGGAGTTTGTCACCGGCAGATTTATACTCCTCTCTATTAAAACTCCTTTACAAGCCCACAGAGACTCACAGAGAGGGAGAGAGGGAGAGAGAGAGAGTGGAAACACAGACGAGGAGGTCTGTAATGAAAGAATAAAGAGAGGGAGACACCAGGAACAAAGTGGGTTTAATGAGTGTGAGGGAGAAAGTGTGTGTGTGTCAGTTCACCTGAAAGATCCACTTACTGACCGTAAAATCACTGTGGGAATAATCACTGATGTTAAAACTACAAGTGGAGATGAATAAATGCAGTTTATTCATGTTAAATCAGAGGAACTAAATAAACTCGATTACAGGATCACTTTGACAACACAGGTTACTGCAGGACATGTGCAGTTCTGTCTTTGTACACAAGAGGGCATCGTCTCCCTTTAATTCATTAGCACTAAAAAACAATCAGTTTCAGACCTGACTCTTAATGGACAAGTATGAGTTTACAGTCCATCACTGTGGCCTGATGAGAGAGAGAGAGAGACAGAGAGAGAGAGAGAGAGAGAGAGAGAGAGAGAGAGAGAGAGAGAGAGAGAGAGAGAGAGAGAGAGAGAGAGAGAGAGAGAGAGAGAGAGATATGCTGGGGTCACCACCTTGGCTTCGTTACAGTCCCTCATTCAGACCAAACATACTGACACGGATACAGAAATGAACGTTTCTGTCTGTTTGGCATTAAGGTGAACTTTTTTAAGTCTTCAGGTGAATTAAAGGTTTAGTCTGAAACTGTTTTTTGTGCAGGAGCAGTGTAAATAAATCTAAAACTACACACTGAAACACGGGATGTTCACCGTCCTGTGACTCCAGTTTGTCCTCCAAACACTGAGTCTATAACTTAGACTTGAAAATTGACTCATAAAGAGCGCCCTCTGATAACATTGATAGGCGCCCCCTGTAGACCCATCGGGGGATTACCTCAACACTCGTTAACCTTTAATCTAAAACTTTGCTCATGTGCAGTACTGACGTCCAACATTTAGACTTCACGTTTGTTTCATAATATGAAGAAAGCTTAAAGCCGTCTCCTAAATGATATCAGAAAATAGATCTTACACTATCATGTACTAGGGGTGTCCCGATACAACTTTTTATTTCTGATACATTACCGATATTGCTCTTGACCTCCAATGTTTTAACTTCACATTTGTTTCACAATATGGACTTTAACGAAAAATACCGCCACACAGTCTCATAACTCGTACTCCTCTCTATTTTGTTCGTACCTTAGTACACACTGTTGTTGTGATTATGTAGGCTCTACGGGTGCTGCTAGCTTGGGGTGCCAGAGTGGAGCCTGGAATGGACTGCTGATATCAGAGATTTTAGATGCAGGCCGATATAATCCGATATTTGTTTTTTGGGTGATATCGGACAGATTTCAGATATCAATATCGTATCAGGACAGCCCTATCATGTACTGTATCATATCAGGCCGTAACAGTAAAATAATACTCAACATAGTTGTTTAATAACCAGAGGAGGAGCTGAAGGTGAATCAAAAGTCGAGCTGAGAAGTGAAAAAGTTCAACAGCCTCCTTTGCAAAGCTAAAGAGGCGGACATATGGCCGTCCTGTCCTCCTCCTCCTCCTCCTCCTCCTCCTCCTCCTCTCTGTCTGCCCTCCTGGTGTTTGTCAGAGTCATAAAGCTGTCCTATAACCCCATAACCTCTGTAATATTCATGATCCAAAGTTTGAGCCTCAGTCCAAGTGTTAGCCCGCTGTTCCCAGGATAAAGAAACACAACAAGGAGACGGTCTACCTGGTTACCACGAGACGAGCGAATCCAGACCCCCAACAACCCGGGTCTGCTTATTAAAATACACTCCTCATTGGTTTACACAGAGCTGTCCTGCTCTGTTTACTCATGTCACAGGCTGGACACAGCCCATAATAGGCAATGGCTCATCTCAACATTACGAGCTGTTTATAAAGCAGGTGAAAAATGACACTTTTATTGCCTGTTGCTGCGTCCGTCTATCCTGCGTCGGCCCGGGTCTGTCCTACCTACTCCTGTCAAATAAATGAAGCACTTCTGGGAGAGAATAAGTCCACGAGGAGACACGGAGCAAGAGGAGTAGAGAGGGAGGGAGAGAGGAGGCTGATCTGGACAATGACAGCTTTAACACAGAGTCTCATAAACATGCATGAATCAGAGCGGGGGGGCTGCTGTGGAAGACAAATAAAGAGACAGAGAGGAGGAGACAGCGGCTGCTGGACGGATGATTCACACTTCAGGCTCGGGTCAAGTTGTGTCTCCTCCGGGGTCAGCGAGTGTGGTTTAGACAAGCGGGACAGCCGCTCAAATAACAGCAGGAGACGTCAGCAGACGCTCTTCTGCTGCATTTTTAGGTCCACAACGTAAACAAGAACGTCACACAAACGCAATATCCATGCAAATCAGAATCAGGATATTTTAATAATCCCCAGGGGGAAACTGCTGTCTGTCAGTGACTCCAGTGCAAATAAAGTAGGAAGAGGAGATAGATAAGTAGATAAAATAAGTAAAAAATAAATAAATAATCAAAATATCCAATATGTATACAATTTTATAATAAACAAGCATGTACACTATATACTACACAAAATAATTTTATGTGTTATGTGTAATATTGTAATATTTTAATACAAATTAAGGGAATATTACAGATAGATTTAGTCAACTTCTTCAAAGTGTAAAGAGCAAAAGGAGAAGTGCATCCATCAAACAGGTTTGAGCTGATCACAGTGAAATGACCTTATCATTTATCAGCTGACATGATCTTGATTAAAGCAGCGATCAGTGACGAAAGCACCTCTGTGCATGTTGTGTTTTCTGCACATTTCTGCAGCAGGTGTTTGGAAAGTAAGATCTCTTACCTCTTTAGGTCTGATCTCTGTTTTCAGACGTCAGACTCTGAAATGTACCTCAGGATATATCCGAACCATGGTGAGGAGATTTCAGCCAATCAGAAAGGTCAGAGGTTACATTATTGGTACTCTCAGTAAAGTTTGTTTGCAGTGAAACACACAACAGCTCTCAAGGTTTCTTCCCCGCGTTGATGTGCCTGATGGCTGATGGGATAAAGCTATTTTTGTACCGCCTGGTTTTACAGGCTGGTTCCTTGAGCCTCCTGCCTGATGGGAGCAGGATTCAGTTATGTTTATGTGGCAGCAGTAACTTCCTGTTGCCAGCAGGCGGTGATGTATTTTTTTTTAGACATCTTTCAAAGATGAGTGTGTTCAGTCTGAGACTCTTTAGGAGTCGGGAAACTTTGTGCAGATTTGTTAACGTAGGACTGAGCGAGAACTGTAAGAAATTTCACATCTAGACTTGAATTCAAATCAAAATACTGTTCTGATGGCGCCCTCTAGAGGAGGATTATTAATTTCCATCTGTACCATAATATCTCATCTCAGCATCAATCAGTGTTTAAATTCAGAGGATGAAATGATCTAATTCTCCTCTTCGACTAAATGTTGTTTTCTCTCTGTCCAGCAGAGGGCAGCATCCGTTCATATTCCCGCCTCTCTCCGGTCTCTCTCCGGCGTCGAGTGCAGCTGCAGGGAGCCTGAGCGGCCCCTCTGAGCAGCTCTGCTCTGTTATCACAGTCTGAGCTATTTATAAAAGTCCTGATTCAGCTGCTCTCGTGTTTCCATTGTGAGAAAACGGAGAGGACCTGGAGGAACAAAGCTCGCTCAAAGTCACTCCTGGAGCAGATTGGAGAAGTTCCCACATAGTTGCACAAACACTGAACGTACATGGATGTTCATTAGGGAGGAAACTCGCATCGGAGCAGCAGCGATGAAAACTGAAAGGTGACCACAACACAAAGTTTATCCCTGTTAATGTTTCTGTTTATTCAGGCGCTCTGATTTTCTACTGATGGAGTTATTTGCTGCTATAATAAAGACAAAGAGGCATAAAGTGTATTTACAGAGTCAGATCTTTGCTGGTGTTCAGCTTTAAATGTTAAAGTGTAGAAGAAAATAATAATTCAACAGGAAGTTTAATATATGTCACTACTTCAGTGTTATATTGTACATGGATCACATGTCATACATATGTGTCAGGCCCAACCGCTGAAATTTCTGTTAACTATCTATGTTCAGTATTTTAATATCTTAATCAGTAATTAAAATAAGGCTGGGTGATAAACCGAAAATATACCGATAACAAAATTTATGACAATAACTGACGTCATTTTGCGGCAAATTAAATGTCTTCTAATTTAGTAATCTATTGACTAATGAATAGATTCAAAAACTGATCTTTTAGGGCTGGACGATAACCGGAAATTTACTGATACCAAAATTTCTGACAATAACCGACGTCTTCTTGCCCATATCGGTATATTCTGTGTCAAAAAAATAACTATGTAAGAAGAGACCGTTCATATTGATGAGTTAAAAAATTAATCATAATACCCTTTTCAAACAGCAGAGGGCGCTGTCTGTCTTTGACTTTATACATTAGAAGTACGTCCCTTTAAAGGGCAGCTGCTCATTGAGCGTCAGTTGGTTGGGGGTTCGAGTCCAGGTCAAGTGAACCAGATTATCACCTGTATCATAATGAGTGGAGTTTGTGACGTAGATGTAGATGATGTAGAAGTGCTCACACCTGTTAAGAGGTTATCATTCTGGGCCGTGGCGGACAGGTGACACCTTGTCCAGTTGAGATGATCTCCTCCATGACTCTGTGATTGCTCTTCATCCAGTTTTCTGCCTCTTTAACTCGGTCCAGCAGCAGTGAGATGATCCGATCAGATCAGTGATATAATGAAGATGAATCTCCTACATGGTGTCTAAGTTTAGATGAGTTTTGGAAACGCCCTCTCTGTTTCCTGACCTTTAGTCCTCCCGCCCTCTCCTTACCTTCTTTATTTGCCTTCCATCCACACACTCAAACATACACAGTCACCGTCCCACTCACAATTATTTTCCTCTTTAATCGATGTTTTTATTTTCTGCACCGCTCTTCTTCCTCTGGTTGCCTTTCCTGGCTGTGACGTTACTCTTCACGGTCTGCAGCGTGACCCACAACAGCTGCCTAATCTTTATTTTTATGTCTTTTTCCATGCAGATAAATAAAGTAAATAAAGACCTGAGCTGGCAGACACGTGTTTGCACCGGTAACTTAAATTCAGTCCAAAAGGAGAGAGTCGCTCTCATATCTATTCAAGGACGGGGTTTTGAATGAGGTTCCAGTTACCATGGAAAAAATTTACCTCTGTCCCACAACCAAAAATGAAGCCTGCAGCAACTTAATACAGCAACAGCATGCCTGTATGTGGAAAACAGGGTTACAGGCTCTAATGAAGCCGGTAAACACGGCGTATGATTGAGAGGGTCTTTGTCTCTGATAGATGACAACAAGAGGAGCCCACTTTCATCATCCGGCTGCTTCATGATGTTTCAGCCTGTGATTGAGTTGCACGGCTAGTTTATTAAACTCTGCAGCTGTTGTTTGTGAACGCACCTAGGAAACCGAGGTAATTGATGGTCCTATTGAGTTACACTCGCTGCTGCATATGAAACCTCCATGTCGGGGAAAGTCAAGGAGACGAATATGAGCTCAACCTCAGCTCGCTGTGTACACACAAAACAGTTAGTGACATGCTGAGTTACTACGAGCTGTTATGACTTACTGCATGTGTGTGTATGTGTGTGTGTGTGTGTGTGTACAGCACAGAGCTGCACACATGTACTCTCATGCATGCCTCTCTTAAAGGTCAGACTCTATTAATACTCAGATTGTTGATCGTACTCCACACTAGTACAGTCCCGAACCGAAGATTCGTCACCGAGACGAGGGTTTATAGATTTAACTTTAAATTATGTTCGCTGTAATATTTTAACACCAAAAGGACGTGTTAAAAATAACAATAATAACACTCAGAGTTCATTTACATAGAACAGGAGAAAACCTCTAATCTAGGCCTGTTTATAAATCTGAAGACGAACACAGAAGCAGCTCCTGACGACCGATATTTACCTGGTTAGCAGAGCTGCAGGTGTGTGAGGCCGAGACAGGCGACATGGAAACATGTTAGTCCGGATTAAATCACACCAGATTGGACTTCTCATAGTCAAGATAATGCAGTTAGTTAGTCTGACTTTACTGTAAAGAAACATTAAAGTTATTTCAGTGCGCTGTGGTTGATTTCCTGTTTATGCTTCTTAATAATTATCAATAATAATCAATAATTAGATTCTTGCTCAGTGCTTGTAAACTGGGACAAAGACTGTTTCCAGTTAAATCGCCCGATCGAGCTTTAACTGTAGCTCAACATAAACACACAGTGGAAATCACTCTGTAGCAGGTGACTCCCCCTGCTGGTCATTAGAAAAAGTGCAGATTACAGGCACTTTTTTTACTTAGAGGCTTTCTACAGTTTTTATACACAATATTTGTCCAAGACTTTTAAATAAATATCGTAAACTATTAAAAAAAATAATCTTCAGAGCAGAAATCAACACGTTTACCGCCTGGTTTCAAGTCAACTGTCGCAGTACTGACTGCACCGACTGCACAGGGAGGGACATATTTTTGTTATGTAGTCGACCTGAAAATCCGAGATTAAAAAGAGATTAAAAAAGCATTTTGACTTTAATCTTAAAATTTATTTATTTTTTATCTTTAAATTTCAGCATTATTCACATTTCGTAAACTCCAAATTTCAACTTCAGTCGTAAAATTTCGACTTTATTGACATAATTTTAAAAATTTAAACTAGAAATTCCAACTTCAATCTCGTTCCTGTATTTATTTTTCTCCTCTTGGTGTCGCTCTAATCCTCTTCCGTAGTTAGCTTTGTTTGTTTACATCCTTGTAGCCATGACAAGTTAGAATCAGGAGTTTCAGCCCCCTCTGGTGGCAGCTGGCTGCACTACAGCTTTTCCTAGAACATTAAAGATAATCTGTTTGACCCAAAAATCATTATTGTGCCAACTAAACTATAGCGAGGATGTTTAAGGGTATATTTCACTTAATTTGTAATAAATAAGGATGTGATATCTTAAACCTACCAACACAGTAGCAGCTTGAATCACATACTGGAGCAGAAAACATAAGAAAAGTCTGTTTTTTGACTTTGGCCTGAACAGAGGACTTATGATAAGTCTGGGGCTGTAATCGTCTCCATGAAGAGAGCTTAAAAAACTTCACTGACTTTAAAAAACGTTACGAACTTTTAAAGATCTCTTTATTTACCGCTCAGTTATGTATTTTACTCACGTCAGTTTAAGCCTGTTAGAGTAAAAATGACATCAGCTCTGTAAGACTGTGTGGTTTTGACTTTTCCTCTGAACCCTCAGCAGATAAAACGAGGGTCTAAATGACTGTTTTGGCTGTTCGTCCCGACCCCCCACGGTGGTATATAATAGGTGGGTTAAGTGTGTCATGCAGACTGTGACGGGGGGTTTCCCAGGGTATAAAAAAGTAGATGGAAAGATGAGGAGGGAGGAGGAAGGGGGCGGCTCGCTGTCTGTGGGGGTAAGGGGAGATGGAGGGGCAGCCAAGCGGACCAGACCAGACAGTGTTTATAATACCTGCAGAGACAGAGACGGTTCCACCTGGGGACAAGGAGTCAAATGAAGCATCAGTCAGTTTTTAATGACGAATAAAACAGAGAGAGCTTTTCAAATGTGACACAAAAGGTGGAAATATTTATTAAAAATAAATCTGTTATAACAGGAAATCTGAGTCTGAGATAATGAGACGGAGAAATCCTAAAACGATGGATTAAACAAAATTATATGGACAGATGTCTTCACAGGACTCCTGCAGAGGTCTCTCACCTGATCCTCGTTTACTGTCCCCAGTCAGGTTTTCTACTGTAACCCTCATGTCCCGTTTGTGCAACTGGAAAACCTTGAATGGTTTCCCCTCAGGTGGTGGTGTGACCTGCTGAGCCACGAGGATTTTTGGAGAGGGCGGTAATTAAAAGAACTTTATCTGGAGCAGAAGAAAGAGGAAAAGAAAGGAGCGTGGAAATAAAAGACGGCTCAGCGGCAAACATCATCCAGAATCAAAGTTCAGGGACAAACTCTGCTCCTGTTTCCGTCAGTTAAAGTCGTTTTTTAGGGTCGTTTATTAAAGGTGACAGATGAAGAAAGACAGGGGGTCCAATCAGGGGCAGCTAGCCTCAGAGACCCACTGGGCTGAACCAGCTCTCCAGTTTGACCCCAGTTCTGATCCTGTTTTTATGAAGCTGAATTCATTAACATTAGAGCATTTTTAAGATGGTACTTCTATCGGAACAGAGAGGAAGAAGTGGGTCATGGCGCTGATCCAGCATCATGACCTCACACTCACCTGACACATGTCGTTTTAAAGTCCCCTTACATCAGTCCGCTCTGAGAGTATTTTGGGCGTAATTTGATTTTGGTGTCGCTGATTTAAATGTGAAGTTATGGACACGGGTCAGCTGTTATTCCAAACAAACTTATCTGTATGTTTCCGCTGCTGACTCAAGAGTCCACAGATACAGTTTGGCACCAGTCTATGTGGATCATGGGGCAGACCAGAACCACTGCACCCCCCATCACAGACAGACTTTTACTCTTCAATCATCAAGAGGAAAAACACGGGGAACAAACCGGACCGCTGATGTAAAGGACCGCTACCACCGGGGTTCCTCAGGGTTCTGTCCTGGGTCCTCCTCTGTTTATCACGAATCCACCTCCCCTTGGCCTCATTATTGTGAATTTTAAGTCTATTTTCCCCGCCATGTTGATCCCTCCCACCTTCTGGGAGATTCTCCTCTTTAGTAACTGAATCTCCTCGAACATTTAGAAATCATTTGTCTCCGTCTGAACTAATTTTAATATTCTGGAAAAGAAGCTCGATCACACTCCTCAGCGTCTCCATGAGAGTCTGTACGACATATGGCCTGGCGTCGCCACACTGAGCCCCGCCCTGTCTCTTCTGTGATGGTCAGCATGTGGTTAGAATGTAACAAACCAGGACGCTTAAAAAGTCCACCGTGTGCCACAAACGACATCAGAGCGCCGCTCACTCTGCGGGCTCGCAGACTCAGCAGCTCCACATGACGGCGTCTTTATCTCCGGGCTGAGGCGGCGTTCTCGTCTAATATCGTTTTGATCTCAGAGAAGAAAATAATCTTTTATTCCAGTCCTCCTCGTCCCTGAGCTGAGCGTCCTTCCCTGTCCTCGCCTCTTCTTCGGCAGGTGGCATATTTGCATCAGCTGATCTGCAGAGACGGCCTGTGTCATGCGTTGAGACCTCCTGTTATCTCTTTTGGCTGCTGTGTGAAATGGGCCGTAACCTCTTCTTGTCTCCTCTCTATCCTTCATCGCTCTCTTTGTTCTCCATCCCACCCTTCCTGTGTCTTTCTCTGTGTCTCTGTGATGTTGGAGGAGAGACTCTCAGAGTCTCGAACTTGGAGCTGCTGCAGAGAAACACAGACCAGGACTTATTAAGAACAAGTATACAGTAGTGGGACAGTCGACACAGCTCATAATGAACATTCTGTATCATTGAGTATATAAGGACACTAGATATGTGAGACTAGGGCTGGGTGATAAACCCAAATTTACGACAATAACCGACGTTAGGATGCAGCCCTCTTTTTTACCCTTTTTACCAAAGTTTACATCAACACTGACACTCACATGTGTTCGGAGCTTTGTTTGTCTGATTCTGCAGGAGAAAAATATAAGAAGTATGATCACTTTTCACTACAGGTTCAGCCAAAGATGGAGATAATAAGTCTGAACTTTAACTTTTTTCAGACTTTGCTGTAACTAGGGCTGGGCGATAAACCAAAAATTACCAATACTGAAATTTACAACAATAACGGACGTGATTTTGCCCATATCGGTGTATTCTGTGTCAAAAAATAAATAAATCAAATTCAGTTTTGGATGTGTGTAGGTAGGCTATGGTCTCATGTCCCTTTAAGACACTGTCCTACGTCAGAGACGTGACTCCGCCCCATCCAGTAACAAAGAGGGAAAGACAGGTGAGGAGATGGAGGACGGAGAGAAAGTTGGAGCGGCTGAAGTAGATGAAGTTAATGTGGGAGGGGGTGAGCAGCTGGTGGAGTAGTTATCGTCCATTTATTGTTATTGAGGTGAACTGATCATTATAATGTGATACTGTTTTAAGGAAATATTGCCCAGCCCTAGTTGCAGTATTACTTTACTCGAGTAAAAGATGAGGATTTGAGCTAAAACATCAACATTTACCAAAGTGTTTCTCACGCCTAAACCTAACCACACATTTTGCTCTTCATTTGAGGATATTAATTTGAGGCCATATCGCCCAGCCCTATATGAGGCCTTTAACCTAATTTAGAGTTAACCCTGACTCACCTGAATCACAGGTAAAGAAGTGAGGAGTTTTAGCGCCTTTTAGAAAAATGCATGTTTGAGTTTATCTCTGACACGTGGAGGTTGAAACCGTAATATCTGATGTGTAAATTAGAGGCTCGGCGAGTGAGTGTAGCATAGATTAAATCTGTAAGTTTGGCTCCTCCCATCTTCATACTTAAACTGTGGTATGTCCAAACTACATCATACTGTAGATAAGATTAAAAACAGTAAATATATATAAACATGAGTTAATTATCCATCTTTGTAAAATGACCTCTCATAACCACAGACTGCTCTTCTTCTGTATTCTTGCCTACTTCTGCTCCTAACCCTCCTAAAGTGAATCCTCGTGTCCTTGGTCGTCTTTTGTTTTGATGTTTATTTTATATGAGTGGATGATTTTATGCATGAGCTGCAGTGATGCTGGATTGTCCTTCAGTGAAGCCGTGGTGGGATGACGTGCGAGCGCGCCTTCCTGTGACAACGGCAGCAGCTCTGATGGTAACCAGTGCAGCCGTCCTCTCTGCTTTATTTTACTGCCTCCTCTGAAGTACACACACATTTACACACACTGGAGTTTGTGTATGTGTGTGTAAATGTGTGTGTGTGTGTATGAAAGGTAGGTCCTCCTCTCCTCTCCTGCTTTGCCTAATACGTCCATGCAGGCCGAGCAGGACAGCGGCGTTCAGCAGCACAAAGATCAGCGCTATTCTGGTTCTGCCAGCCGGCCCACCGCTGATAGGAAAGGATTAATGAGGCGGGGCACTCATCACTCGTAATTAGAAACAACGCTCCAAACTATTTTGGTTCCTGTTCCTAAGGAGAGATCTTGACCCCCCACACACCCCTTCGCTGCCAGCCGTGATGCGGGAGAGACGCCTGAGAAGTCGGAGTAAATATAGGCCCATAACTCCTGCAGCTATGTGACACATGGTTCAATGGAGATAATTCACAACTGGGAGCTCTGCTGGACGCTCAAATGTCAAGAGGTTGAGAGAGAGAGGCTGTGTGTTCAGATGTGTCTGTGAGGCTCAGTGTGCCGTCATGGATCCCTCCAGTTAGTTAGTTTGGGGGTCTCTGAACTGCTGCTGCTGCTGTTTTCTGTTCCCACAAAGTTTGTTGTGAGATTTTTTACAGTTTCCTCCTGTTAGACTTTCTGTGGGTGTGTATCTAACACCTCTCAGTCTGGACTCTCACATGTTGCTGCTTTTGCACATTTTTGGAAACAACTAGAGAGGAGAGGAGAGGAAGTCACCTGTCTGATCAAATCTGATTCATGAAAGAAAACGTCAGGAGTGTTGGAGTGTTACACCGACTCTGAGAAACATCAGAAACATGCAGTTTGTAAATCATGTTAAAATCACATTATTCATGAAAAATCATGATTATTGATCACTATTAATGATTTAAAGACAAATGTAAAGAGCTCATTTAAAGAACAGTTAAAGATGTGGTGCAGAAAATGGTTGTATCAGGATCGGCTGAATCGTGGTGTCAACCCCGATTTTCATAAATGGTGCGTTTCTAATGAAACTGTCTCACAGTTTTTCTCCTTTATTTATTTATTTTTTACAGTCAAAGCTGAAGTTCCTGTAAAACTTAAAACTAAAATCCCCTCTTTTAAAAGAGGGGGTTTCAATTTTAAGTTTTACGAGGGCTTCAGCTTTCTTTTTTCAGTTTCAAATTGATTTTATCACTCAGAGTCTTTACCCACTGTCTTTTTTGATCTCTAACCAATATCTGGGGGAAGTATATAATATTTTTGTTTATATTTGCCTAATCCCCAGATAGGACTGCAACAATAAGTCAACATTATCAAACAAACCAATAATGACAATAGTTGGCAATGAATTCCATTGTCAATTATGTCGCCAGGTGTGTTTTTTTAGTAGAGTGAGGCGTCTTACTTCATTATGATCTCTGCCTACAGTCACAGATGCGCAATAGCGTCTCCACTGAGCGGTAGGGTATTCAAACATGATGGCGCCGGCGTACCATACAGCAGAAACCTTCAAAGTTTGGAGCACTTTAGTCTAGATAAGACCAAAACATGATAATTTGCAAGGTTTGCAAAGCAGATCGATTAGTCGACGAATCATTTCAACAGTCGGTGAGGAGTCGACTATAAAAATAGTCGTTAGTTGCAGCCCTATCCCATAATTGCAGCCTGTAGAGCCGATAGTGAAGCGGTCCAGGTGTGCCCAGTTTTGATTAAATCCTTTGTCCTCTTTTCCTGCGTGTCTCTCTCCATCCTCAAAATTCAATGTTAACAAAAACCATCCTCTTGTGTCGATGAAATCTGCAGCAGGACATTTTCTTGAGCTGATTTGAAACAGAAACTTCGATCTGTGGAAAGTTCAGTGACTTTTTTAATAGTTTTATTCTCACACTTTCTCTCGTTGTTCATCTTTTGTTTCACTTATCAGGTAAAAAAACATCAGTAGTCTAAACATGAGGCCCCATCGACTCTTTTAGGATCAAAATAAATAAACACAAAGCAGCGTTATTTAATCTGTCATGAGAGAGAGTGTATTGGAGCTCTGAATATTCAGGCTTCACTTTTGCAGAGCTGCTGCGCCGTCAATTTTTAATCCAGTCTTTTCAGTTTATTTTAGTAATTTTCATCTGGTCGAGTAAATTGTGTTTGATACGACTGTTCAGCACCTGAAGACCACAACCATGACCTGAAAGAGGATCACAACAAGAGGACTCTCAGATATCATATGTCCTTAAATCAGATTAACTAGTGAGGCAGAAAGTCACATCTTTATGGAGTCGGAGCGACGAAAAAAACAACCACAAACACATTTGTACCCTCTGTGAAAATAAACCTCCAGGACACGAAAGTAAACTTGAAGCTTCCCTGTTTATTTCAAAGCTAACAAGTAGGGATTACAAAATTACAGTGCTTCAATTTGCAACAGTTGGAGTAGGAGTAGTAGGAGAAGAGATGACAGACCAGTTTAGGAGTTTTATTCTTTTATTCTTTTTTTAAGCAAGTCATGCAAAAAAGGTGTGGGAGAAGGCCTCCGTTATTATAGCACCCTTTGTGGAAAAAATAAATCCATCTGTCCTTAGGTCAGTGCAAAAATAGTAATGAATATATGCATACAAAGAAAATAGATATATATGTATTTATATATATATTTATATATCGTATACTTGACTTTGACTACAGACACAAAGATACAGAGACTTGTAGAGTGAAGCCCGTTCCCACCGGAGACTCTGAAACAAGTCTGACGACAGCTTGATATTGTTCGAATATGGAGTGTTAGCCGTCAGTCAGTCGGGCTATGACCTCTACAGAAAGACAGACAGCACCATCATGATCATCGAGAGTGTCCCTCGCAGGCCAGGAGCACACAGCATGCTTCGTTTTCTAACCAGAGAGAGAGAGAGTAACGTACAGTACCACGGTTACATTGTTAAGATACATACAAAAGCCATCGATCGATGTGTGCAGAACCAGCAGATGGGATGAAGAAGAAGAAGAAGGTACATCGTTTGGTTAGCACTCTGTTTTCTTTTCGCAAATCACTGAATATAAAAGCACAAGCTACGAATGAGTGTCACACGTCGACCTTAAATACCCTTTTTAAATACTGTGGAGCACCAGAAGACACCAATGACGACAGCGAGTAAAAGTACAAGTGAGAACACGGCGGCGGCGCCACACCGACATCTTTAAACTGGATCACAAAGACCCTCCAGAACAGTCTCGTGGTTCTCGGCCTGGATCCGTCTCTCTTTTTTATTTGCATAGCGTGAATCTTCACATGAGGGATTTTCAGAGCTTATTGGCGTTAATGTCGTTGGTTTGACTCCGATTTCAGGAACGTTTTGTCACATTCGCCTTCGACTCGCCGACAGCTTCAACCTCTGTTTTTTTTTTTGGTGTGTTGACATTAATGTTGTTAGCCCTGTGCTTTATTTTATGCTTTTATCTGCATGCAAACTATCGAGAACTGAACAATGAAAAGAGGAACATTAACTGCAGCGTTTTCTTTTTTTTTTAAACTCAAAGATACAGGATGAAGAGGCGGATTCTTCCCTTCTTTTAAAGGTCACTCAGGGCCGTGTTTGGGTTTATATTTGCATTAATGAAGCTTCAAAATAGACGGAAAGTTAAGAGGATCAGGAGAAATTCACCTAAACGAACACAAAACTCAGTTTACATGAACTTTGGTAGAGGAGGAGTGATTTTACGTTAAATTAATTTATGTAATTCTTCATTAGTTTACATCGTCATTTTCTTCCGCTTATCCGGAGGGAAGCCCAGACGGCCCTCACCTAAACGACTTCCATTAGCTCCTCCTCCGGGGGGATTCCCAGGCGCTCCCAGGCCAGGCGAGAGATATAATCCCTCCACCTGGTCCTGGGCCGGCCACCAGGTGTCCTCCCGGTGGGACATGTCTGGAACACCTCTAACGGGAGGCGTCCAGAAGGCGTCTGAGCCATCTCAGCTGACTCCTCTCGACGTGGAGGAGCAGCGGTTCTCCTCTGAGCGCCTCCCGAGTGTCCAAGCTCCTTACCCTATCTCTAAGGCTGAGCCCGGACACCCTGAGGAGGAAACCCATTTCAGCCGCTTGTATCTGCGATCTTGTTCTTTCGGTCATTACCCAAAGTTCATGACTATAGGTGAGGATCGGGACGTAGATCGACCGGTAAATCAAGAGTCTCGCCTTGGAATATCGTTGGAAGTTATCGTTGTTGGCTTTGTTGCGTTTTAATGTACATAATATTTTCTTCAAACTAAAACACGAGAGAGCGCCAAAATCAGGACGATCCGCAGTGAACCTAAAGGGTTGATCAGGAAACTTCTCTCAGTCTGTGACGGATATTTAAGGATGTGAAGATTTATGGCTTTTGGACTCACTCTGGTTTTGACATTTTCCCTTTAAGTCGTTTTAATTCAGCCGAACTCTAAGATGTTTGTCTTGTAATATCAGCCCGTATAATACGAGTATTTCTTCCTCCTTCTTCTGTTTAGTGCAGTTTTATTTTACAATTCATGGTTGTGTTCAGAGCGTCCTTCCTGTGCCACCACGAGATCAGAGTTACATAATGAGCGCTCTCTGACCTCGAGGCTCTTCAGCGTCTCTGAATGCAATCCTCCGAAATCCAGCCCATGAATCAGAATCGGCCTTTTCTAAGTGAAATTTAAGGATGTCACACAGACGACAAAGAGAGAGAGAGAGAGCAGGTTCCTCCAGTCTGAGAGTTAAAAATCTGACCTCCTTCTGCATCCGACTGCACGTGATGTTGTTAGCGTGCGCAGGCTCAGTGGTGACGCATGAATTAAGGCATTGATAGAGGCACTAGAACAGCACGTGACAGCAGCAGCGCTCGCCTTCGCCGAGGCAGAGGAGCTCACTTAACTGTAGCTTAGTGTCAGCGACAGGAGCTGGCAAAGATTAGACAAGGGGGTCACGCTGCTCTACTGTACCAGCGGCCTGTGTCACACCACACTGTGACGCACAGGAGGAGACCAGAGTTTGAGGTCTGGACCTCCTCTCTGCTCCCTCTGACGGATTCAATCATCGGGGGAAAAACTGGGGACAAAATAAAACACAAATAAAATCAGGCAGTGAAACTCCTCTTTAAAAACCCGCAGTAGCCCTGTTTTACTGAAGCCGCTGTCATGGCCGTCTGGGAACATCGATATATTGCTGAAGTTGATGCAGGAATGGCGAAACAAAGACAGAGGAGCAGAAACAGAAACTGAACGTGTGTTTGAAACGGACAAAGCTGCACTCTCACACACCGAACATGACAGCAGAACAGAAAGATCTCCAACATGAACCTCCGAATCTCAGCAAAGAGCTGGAAATGTTTAGTAATCATCATCATCATCATCATCATCATCATCATCATCATCATCATCGTCATCACCCATATATACACATATCATAACGATCAGGTCTCATTGCATTCCACTCTGAAATTATTGCACAGTAAGCCGCGTGGTTGCGGCGGCTCGTCATGGTCGACCCCAAAAACCCCTTTATAAAAATAGAACAACAACATTTACACACCAAACATGTCTTCATTTCTTTTTTATTTCTGACAGGCACTGCTGTGGCCAACCCCGCCGCCACCGCCGCCGCCGCCTCAGTCTGCAAACAGAAACGCTGTGCCACAGTGTGAAGAGCTTGAAGAGTTTCTCCTCTCAGTAATTGCCTCGAAGCACAGAGAGTATCTTTCCCAAACTGAATTTTCTTTCCCTCTGCGGTCACAAATGGAAAGCTTCCAACCGACCGCTTCTCCCTCTCTCAATCGCTCCTCCTCCTCCGGGACTGCAGCCAGGTCCAAAGAGTAGAGATTTTTGGCATTTCTTATCACCGCTGACCCAGAGCTTTGCTACTCCAGGGAGCCCAAGACGAGCGTGAGGAGATCCTCCCTCAAACACACTCGTAGAGAGCGGTGGAGCCGCTCGTTAAAAAGCAATGAGAGTGAGTCAAAATGTTGGTTCGGGTTTACACGATCGTTTCCACTCCGACCAGCTTTGGCGTGAGGATCCGTGGCGTTATTCCGTTGTTGAGGTCCTCCTCGAACTCCAGCAGCTGACCCATGAAGTTAAGGTTCGGGGAGATGATGGGCCTCCTGGTTTTGACAAACTTGTAGGCGTCTGTCATGGTCATCCAGGTGTGCTTCATCAGGTAGGCGATGACGATCGTGGCCGATCGAGACACGCCTGCCTGGCAGTGGATGAGAAGACCCAGACCCGCCTGATGTGCTTCCTCTGCAGAGACAGAATAGATGTAGACCTTCAGACAGGGTTTCAAAACTTTGTAATTTGGTAAAAAGCTGAACATGAACACCGGGCTGTGCGTTAAAAACTGTCCAAACTTATTCACGAAGGAGGAAAAATCCTCATCCTCAGATTTACAGAAAGAATAATTCTTAAACTGAGATTAAAAAAAGACAAAAAGATCAGAAACACAGAGCAGCAACTTTACATTTTTCAGTTCAGTAATTAATTTATTTCCACATTCATTAATAAAGTCATGGTTGACGATTGGAGAGATTGGTAATTATTATGAACCTCGTTTCTATGGTGATCATGGGCCGATAGTGCGATCTCGACAAAGTGAAGAGAAAAAAGAACGACAAAATCGGTTCACCCTATCAGGTGCAGAGCTGCAAATGCATCGACCAATGGGAGCCATCCATCCCATACAGCTCCAATTGGTCAATCTCCCGCTGCGCCTCTCCATCCAATCACCTCGCTGTATTCGACACACCCCTCTCCCATAGTTCCGACTCGTCCCCTCCCACTCTCCCGGCCCTCCTCGGAGCTCTGAGCGGCTAAAAGTAGCGTAGCAGCTTAGCTACAGGAGCTGTGGTAGAGGAGGACGCAAAAAAAACACTTCTGCTCGCCACACCGCCAAAAGTGGGAAGAAAACGCAGACAGAAGAAAGGTCGGAGTCAAAGAGGACATGTGACCAAGCGAGGAATCTAACGTGAATAACCATCGGGTCATCCTTGGAGCGGTGGAGAAAACAGACGCTGAGACAGCCGAGTTTTAGTTGAACAGGTCATTTTTATCTCCTTTTATCGAGGCTCATGTTACATAAATAACTCTGATTAGTCTCTGACATGTCAACACGGTAGCTGTCCAGGCAGCTGCAGATACTGGGGAGAGGGGAGAGGTTTGTGTGTGGTGGGTAGGACGCTTTTATCAAATCTGCTTCTCAGATCGTCAACCATGCCTTTAACCTCTGAGAATCCCGTTCCTAAAGACTGACTCAAAGTTCGATATAAAGGTTGTTTGTAAAAGTTATCAAGAGAAGTTTTCATACCGATGAACTCGAAGGCCTCCTCAAAGTACTGGCGCAGGTTCTGCTTGTTGCTGTCTGTGGCGGGGAGGCGTTTGTAGACGAAGATGCCCGTGTCGTAGTGGTAGAGCGGCAGGTGCGTGGTCACGTTGAGGATGTAGCCGATGTTGTAGCGCTGCAGCAGGTTGATGTCCTGAGCGTCGTGCTCGTTCCCCAGATAGAGGAAGGGCAGGATGGGTGTAAGCTCCGCGTTCTCGATGTCCGGGGTGGAGGGCAAGGAGTGAGGTAGCGCCCCCGTCAGGCCGGCAGCAGCACCAGGGTCCAAACCTTCGTGGTGAAGGTGCAGCGAGTGATCACACAGGTTCTCGTGGCTCTGCCTGAAGCTGCTAAGGCCTCCTGTGGACGTAAACACAAAGACGTGAGTTAAAACATTAGAGTTACAGTTTTAGACTCTTCTCTCCTCATAGGGCTGGGCGATATGTCCTCAAATCAATATCACGATATATTGATCAGTTCACCTCGATAACGATAAATGGACAAGATCTACTCCACAAGCTGCTCACCCCCTCCCTCATTAACTTCGTCTACTTCATCTTTTGAACCGTCCTCCATCTCCTCACCTGTCTTTCCCTCTTAGTTACTGACTGGATGGGGTGGAGTCACGTCTCTGATGTAGGACAGCGTCTTAAAGGGACATGAGACCATAGCCTACCTACACACATCCAAAAACTAATTTTTTTGATTTGTGTGTTTAAAATAGATTTTAATGGTAAATAATCATAATAACTCAGCTGTGTTAAACGGTTGACTCTAATTGGTCAAAATTTTACAAAAACAATAATTCATTCTAAAAAAGTGAAGACCACCCCAGACTTGACCTGATCCCACCCTTCCTCCTCCAAACACACGTTCATTCATTATCAAACTATCATTAGTTTTTTAATAAAGTTTTATGGTTTTAATTATCGCCTTTTTTCATAAAAAGTACAAATTTACCACCATGTTTGTGGGCAAAGTGACGTCGGTTATTATCGTAGTTTTTGGTATAGGTAAATTTTCGGTTTATCGTCCAGCCCTTTCTTCTCATACTTGTAACTCGGACTGATGTGATTCCCTTTAAAAAAACATGACGGGTTGAGGGTTTGATTCCCTCTGGAGTCCTCTGTACTAAAAATACTTCACTCATGCAAACGTTACACATGAGCTGAAGTGACAGCAACTTTCCTGAAAGAGCTCTGAAGCCAAAAATAAAAACACAAATCCACAATTTCAGGACTTTACGGTTTAATTTGGTCGACATTTAAATCTTTCTGCCTGAATATTAAATGAACTGATGATGTGTTTCCAGTCCGATCTATTTTAAGGAGGTGATAAAAGACTAAAATAAGAAATCCCCTCGTTCATATTCAGGTAAATTTACTTTTCACCGAACATCTGCACTTCCCTAAATGAACCGTTTCACACCTGCTGCTGGTTTTACCAAAGTTTCCCTTCAGCACACCAAAGTTTCCCTTCACACACACACACACACACACACACACACACACACACACACACACACACACACACAGTATCAGTTCATGTATTGTTCACGTCGCAGCGGTTGACATCATGCCTCATGAGCTCATTCCTCGACTTACCCCTTTGTGAGCTCACAGGTGGGGATCTCCGGTCAACCGTCGGACCGTTTTTCACCATAAAACAGCTGATTGTTCGGAGTAAACAAAGACAGAAGCTGCCGATAAAGACACCGCCTTCACTACAGCGGGTCTAATATTTACACCACAGCAAATAACAGAAAGGGAAGTTTTCACAGGCTCTGAGACACAAAATCAACTCGGTGTTCAGGGACTTTTAAGAACTGAAACTTTTTCTGTTTGTGTGAATAAATAAAGACTTTAAAGTAGTTTTAACCTGTTTTATTATCACTAATAGATACAATTCAACTCTAACCTTCTGTTTTAAGAAAAACCCTAATTTCACCCCAATTTCGCTGTCCCTTTAAGGCCAGGGCCCAGCATTCTAGAAGCCTCCTTCACTGTTGCAATGAAACAAAGTGGCGATCTGTCTATAAAATGACAATTTTGCCCTTTTAAGGAGATTCACAGTCTGCTGACGTCAAGATCTGAGAAAATCTCACACTGATCTGATCTGAACGAGCCGTTCAGCGCCCCCTGTAGACCCATCAGGGGATTACTTCGACACACACGAACCTTTAAGGTCCTTTCACACCGGGACCGTTTTTTTAGTGTGATTACTTCAGAAGTCAATATTTTTTTTAGAACTTGTATCGCGTTCACATCAGCGATGTTTTCGTAAACATCGCTGATGTTTCGTGTTATATATTCACGTCTGCCCGGTGTGTAAGGAGCTTAACTCTCAAAAAACCGTCAAATTAAGCCTAATTCATCGACCACAGCTCCACTGAGAGGGATCACTGAGCCTGAAGATAAGACATGTTAGCAGAGAGAGACCAGTTCAGAGATAAAGATGTCCGTTTATTCACCATCTTAAAAAAAAGACAAACCTCTCTGTGGTTTAAAACACCATCAGTCATCAGTGCTTCTTTGCATCCATGTTTCCAATGATAACCACGACTACAGCAGGTAGCAGCAGAGCAGTTAGAGATGACACATGACTGGCATTTCAGGCCTTCAATTATAATACTGTTATTATTATTATATAATAATAATAATTATTATTATTATAATGACTTTGTAGCTGCTGAGTCAACTAAACGAGCACATTCAGCTTCATCGTCTTTTTGCACAGAGAGAAAATACTCTGTATAGGTTTAGTCATTTCTGAAACAAACTGCTCCAACTATGTTACACAACGCCTTTAATATTTCTGATTGTTTTCCTGCTAACTGGAATAATCTGAGTCTGTTCAGGTCTCCACCCAAACACCTTTTTCCACAAGTCCAGACTAGATCGCTCAAAGGTTTTATTTCAGCGTCCCGCCTTATTGTATGTAACAGGATTAGGCCACAGTTCTTGGTTTACTCTTTAAATAGATGTATGCTTGTTAAAATATGATCTCCAGAGCGAGGAACAAAACTCCTCAGGAGGATGGAGGTCAAACTGCGTCATCTAAGCTGGTCTACGTTCATCAGCTCGTGTAAATTTAGCTTCAGTGAAAAATAGAGAGGTTATTTCAGTTATCGACAAAACTGGATACCAACAGTCCAGTTTCTGAGCCATGAAAAGCTGTTCCTGTTTGGGCTCAGACTGAACCAAAGTCCATCTTCTGGACTCAAACTCAGCAGATAAATAAATAAGGTTTTGGATAGTAAACTGAGATTCGCAGACTCCTCGTTGCTGTGGGATGAAATCTGCGGCGTGCGACCATCTGTTGTTATCTTCAAACTGAACTCGCACAGGAAAACCGTCGATCGCTTCTGTAAGCCACAGGCCAAGTTCCTGCTTCGAAACTACCGCTTCTGCCTCGGCGTCGATCTGGTACCACAGGCCCGCTGTTTCCATCTCCTCTGACACGCTGTTTAGAGCAGATCTGACGTCTGAAATGTTAACATGCTACTCCTCTGAGCTGCGGCGCGGCAGGGACAGAACATTTTGTGTTTCCTCTGAAACAACAACCCATAAATCATGAGTAAGACATGCCAGTAAATATTTGACAGTGTTCATACGAGCGCGTTTGAAATATGTCACTATTACCATTCTTATGTAACGTCGCAGACTCCTCCTCCTGGTTTAATGACAAATGAAGACGCTGAATTCCCCCCAAAATGAAAAAACGAGAAAGAAAGAAACTGAGGTTAACGGAGACCCTCCGGTTTGTGCTCAGAGCTGCTCTCCTTCATGTTTTATTAAATCATCTAAAGAAGAAGATTATGTAAGTCTGCAAACGGGGAAACATGGGACATACAGGCGCGTCTTCGTGTGAACAAGGACTGTCTCAGCAGAGGGCATGTGCTGCATTTTACAAGAGTTGAAGGTGTGTGTGTTTCCCCACTGAGACACACACACACACACACTCACACACACCGCTGCAGGATGAGAAGAGAGTGGAGAACCCTTCCATCAAAGTACCCAGGAGGACCAGAGGATGGAGAGCAGAGAGGAGATGAAGGAGCTGTGATCTTACAGCGAGACGTTGACTCGTAGGCATTCATGAAACATTTGCAGCCCTCCCCCCTCCCCCCACGACACGCTGCTGCTCCGGCTTCAAACACACAAACACACAAACACACAAACACACACCAAAGAGAGCAAACATGGCCGTGACCCGAGGACTGCTATCTCTGAGGACTGCTTTATTTACCAACTTCTCCTTCTGAAGACCCCAAAACTGTCTCAGAGACGCTGCTGGAGAGTCTGCAGGAGTTTTTCTGTTTGTCTCTCAGTTTCTTCTTCTTCTTCTTCTCCTCCGTCGTCTGTGTTTCTCTGCCCTACTTTTTTCTACATTCACTCAGATGGAAAATGGCTGTACACCAAGAGTCTGTTCCTCTCGGGGTTTCTACCTGTTAAACACGAGTTGAACAAAGTGCTGGCTCATTAGTGGATTAAATTTGGTGTTTCTGTTACACTCAAGTGTGGTGAAACATTTCAAGAGTTTAAATTACAACCATCATGTTTACAGGAAACACTCAGGTGACCAAAACAATAAAGGGTAACCTTTGACCCCAACTAAACTGTTTACACCATCACAGAGTTTCCAAACTATCAGATTAATGAATCAGTGTTTTTTAAATCTCATTACACCAAAGAGCACAAACTCTGTTTTAGCAGGTAGAAACCTCGAGCAGAACCAGACTTGTTGGTCACCAGCCGTCTGCCTGAACTGACTAAACTGAGAAACTGAGAGAGACGTCAGATTCAGATCTCTGTAATCTCATTAATCTCTCTCCTAAATCAGATTAAATCAGATGATATTGGACCTTCTCTCCTCTTCTTTTCACACGGCAAAATCTAATCTCCTCTTTCTTTAAACTCTGAATCAATCACTCCGTTTTATCTTTACAATCACAAATCATAACTTGTCTTATAGATCCTCTAAAAGAAGCATCCTGAGACAAACTCTTCTTTAATACTGTTGATTATTAATCCACCAATAAGAATAAGACAGCACTTGGAAACAGCTTGACATAAAAACTCCTCAACAACAGACAGAAACCTCGAGCAGAACCAGACTTGTTGGTCAACAGCCGTCTGCCTGAACTGACTAAAGAGACATCAGATTCAGATCTCATTATCTTCCAAATCAGATTAGATCACATGATATTGTCGTTTCTCTCCTCTTCTTTTCACACAGTAAAATCTAATCTCCTCTTTCTTCAAACTCTGAATCAATCACTCTGTTTAATCCCAGATTATAACGACAACAACAACAACTCGCATTTTATAGATTCTCCTAAAAGAGCATGCTTAGACAAACTCTTCTTTAATATTGTTTATCATTTATCCACCAATAAGACAAGACTTGGAAACAGCTTGACGTAAAAACTCCTCATCAACAGGCAGAAACCTCGAGCAGAACCAGACACACAGTGAACAGTCTTAAGCCAACAGTGGGATACACTCGATTTACTCACTCCACAGTCAAACTCGAGGATTATTTTAATCCTTTGACAGAAAATAAAACAGGTGTGTCTCTGTGCGTGCGCGTGCGTGTGTGTGTGTGTTACCTTTAAGGACGATGGGGTCCTTGCCCTCCCTCCTCAGGGAGTCCAGGACCACATGCAGCGGCTGCGAGAAGGTGAGGCGGTGTGGGTCTGTGGTGCTCTCGTCGTAAACCACGATCTCTTTGGAGAAGATGCCCTTGTAAGAGTCCTTGCCCTCGCGGCAGGAGATGAGGTCCAGCACGGTGATCTTGCCCTGCTGGAGTCGCCGCCGGCTGATCTTGTCGGAGCAGTTGATGTGCACGGCGCCCCGGATGTGGCTCTTGTTGTACTCCATGAAGGGCCGGCAGTCGATGATGACCGGCATGGGTCCGATGGGATGTCCCATGGGGCAGCAGGTCATCCGTTTGGCCAGCTCATTGGGGTGGATGACCCTGACGCCCGCCTTCGGGGTGCCCGGGGTGAGACTGGGGGCGCTCAAAGCCTCGTGGTTGCTGACCATAGAGGTGGGTGGGCCGGCATAGCTGAGGTTGGGGCTGCTGGCGCTCACCTGGCTGTGGCTGAGGCTCGGGCTGTCCTTCTCATAGGTGGTCACAGAGCAACAGCTGGCACTGCTGCATCCACACGACAACGAGCGCGTGGAGCCCTTGGATGAGGGCATATACGTCACAAGATTGGCCGTCGCCCGGATCTTCACCACGGTGGTGCTGATGACTGTGTTGCTGCTGCTGCTGCTGGAGATGGAGTCCAGGTAGCTGGTGTCCAGGCGCAGTTGGAGTTCCTGAGGTCGGATCGGCCTTGGCAGCGCCACCACAATTCTGTCGTCAAGAGGAGATGGAGGCATGGGGAGGCCGAGGGCTGGACGTTTACGGAGAACTCAACAAGCCGCTCTGTGGAAACAGAGAAGAAGATTTTGAATCAGAGGAAAGCTGCAGATGAGAGAGCAGAGAGAGAGAGCGAGCGAGAGAGCTCCGTCTGTTTGATCAACATGCAAACTAGAAAACGGCTGCTGAAGCCAAATATTAGTAGTGTCAACACCTGCAGGGCGACACCCACCATGGTGAGAAAATATAGGCGTGACAGAGCGGCCACTAATAATAAACAGTGAAATCATCATCATCACCGTCTGCTGTAACTGAATCACTCTGAGTGTAATCAATATGAATCATCCTCCACATACTGTACACTTGTATGTCTGAGGAGATGTGTGTCAAAGCTGTCTCTGTGTGTGTGTGTGTCTGTGTTTATGTGTGTGTGTGAGTGTGTGCTGTTGAATTTTTCATCCCAACTGTGGTCTCTCTCTCTCTCTCTCTCTCTGATCCAAAGCTTTTATAACAAGGGAGGGAAAAAAAAAAGATAAAACACTGCATCAGCGCCGCAGTTTGGTTGGTCTCTCCCCCCTTAGATGGAAAAGCCGGGGTCCAAAATAAATAAATAAATAAGTGAAAAATCAACAGAAGGGTGGTTATTCAGTCTGATCACCAGCATGAACGTTTTCAAAGCATGTCATGCTGGCATGTTATGTAAAGACACCCGCCGAGCGAGCCTTGCCTGTCCCGGCCGTTGGCTCTCTCTCTCTCTCTCTCCCTCTCTCTCTCCCTCTCTCTCTCTGAGCAGCTCGGTGCAGGTTCAGCAGGAATCATTCATGGACAAATTCATTGAGGAAACCGGCATGAGAACGTGCCGTGAATGTGAGATGGCTTTAAGGACGAGACGAGACGAGAAAATTCAATTTCAACACCGACCACTCATTCAATTAAAACCAACCTGGAGTAACATGCGGAGGATGATTCTTTCATGGAGGGTTTTCAACTTTGTCGCAACGGACGGATATTATAAATAATGCAGATAAAACAATAAATCCTCACAGTTTAAATAAAATAAATATATATATGTGTGTATTTAAGGTCTGAGCAGGTTCAGATCATTGCAGCTGTTCCATGTTTGTCTTCATTAATTATAGAAAAGCAGCTTTAGCTCCTCACTCCTCTTTTTTGGACGTTAATCCTCCAAACTCTTATCGCTGCTTACCGGTGTGTGTCGCGTGCACCGTGGACAGGTTAATTAATCTCCGCTCGCGGACCTCGTTGCCTCCATTCAGTCCGTCCGGTGTGTCTTGTGGAGCGGCAACATTTTTTCGTACTTTTACCTTTTAGCTCCCCCCCAGAAATAATATTGAAGGAAGTCTGCCAGCCTACACGAGTTGCGCAGCGGGGATTGACGTGAGCGCGAGCCAATACGCGCGCTCATGAATATTAAATGAGGTCGTTTTTGTACAGTAGGGTCCGACCCTGATGGTGGGCGGGGTTTGGCCGAGCCGTCTCTGCCTCTGTGGCTCGAGAGGAGGGAGGGAGGGAGGGAGGCTCGAACAGCCTTCAGCCCCACGTACAGGCAGGGATGATGTCACTGGCAGCCAATCAAAAGTCTCTGAAGGAGGCTCGAGGAAGAAGACACGGTGCGTTCACGTGATACTCGTAAACTTGTGTTGTTACAGTAAAGAAACTGGAGAGCTCAAAATCAGCAGAATAAAGAATAAAAACTGAATAAAGATGATGAATTAGTTTAGTTTGATTAACCCTCATGTTGTGTTGTTAAAGTTTTATCTTTATCAGACTGACCTGAAATCACAATCTCAAGACAAAACTAAATTTTATTGATTTTGAGATGGTTATGTGAGTTTTATTCAACTTTTATACACTCTTGTTTACAGGACAAAACCTTTAGGAACTCAAACAGACTCTGTCTTTTAGCTGCAGTTTCCTCTCGTTGATGATTTAAAGGGATATTCCGGCGTGAAATTAATTTAGGGTCAAACACACCGTAACACCGAGTTAGACCCCCCCTCCAGAGATGAATGTTTTCGACCGCTTGCTTCTCTAGTTAAACCAACTTTAGTAACGACCGCACGATAGCAATACACAGCGGTCTGAGGAGCCAAAAACAAACCTCAACCAAAACGCCACTCTATAGCCACAAATAATGCTCAGAACAGCACCTAACTTCATCAACAGGACATATAGGGTCACAGACATAGTACTAGACACCAAACATCTTTTTAACTTTGACTCATTTCTTTAACAAAGAGACTAAACACAACTCACCTACTCTCTTCCAGCAGACGCTTGTTTGTAGAGAGACCTCAGGTCAGTCCATTACGGACTACAGCGGGGTGCCGCAGCTCAAGGAAGAACATTTATGATCATTTCTTCATGAAAATACAATCAGACCGAGACGCTAAGGCAGAAGAACTACCGCGTCTGCAGAGCAAAATGATTAATATGGTGATTATTACTTCAAGGAAATGATAAAGAAATGATCATAAATGTTCTTCCTTGAGCTGCGTCACCCCACTGTAGTGCCTAATGGACTGGCCTGAGGTCTCTCTACAAACAAACGTTTTTACATCGAAATATCTCTCTAACAGTTTTTATTCTAATGTCAGGCAAAAAACATGAAACAAACACAACACGAGGGTTAATTCAGCAATTTTAGTTTGAGACCAAGTTTCATTGAACTTCTCTGTTTCACAGATATATCATCTCTGTAAACTGCAGTAAAAACAGACGTCTCTCCCCTGTGTGTAAAAAATAAAATCCAAATCAACAAAGTCTTGACACCAATTAACCTTTCAAAGAGGAGGGCGGACATTAACTTTTAATAACCCTTAATTTAACATAATCACTTTAGTCAATCACTTTAATTTGAGAGCTGATTACTCCAGTAACTTAATAGACCTTTTTCATTTAAATCATTTTGACCACAGTTCAAGTAGACTTAATTAAACTAACCTTTCGTTTCAGAGTTTTGGTTTTGTTTTTCATGCTGACTTGATTTCACTTTCATGTATTTTGGGACTCTCAGATCTAAATTCTCGTGGAAAGTCAAATGAGGGAAATCTTCAGTGGTCCCTAATTTAAATATGTTTGTTTTAAAAAGTCAAATCTACTTGAAATTAAGAAACTAGTAAACGCAGGAACCAAAACTCTAATCTGAAGTGTGTCTTCAGTTTAAGATATCCTCTTTTTCTCTGTCTTTAGGGGACTTTTTTCTTATTTTCAGTTCTGGTTATGACCTTCTTAGCTGCCTGGAGAACATCAGTTAGACAGTATTTATCATTTGTCCCCAGTTTGAGCTAATAATCCTTCTCCTCTGTCTTTACATTTAAACTCTCATATTTCCCACAGTTCCTGAAGGCATTTTCAGTAAGTGTTGTGTTAAATATGATTCATTCTAGCTTAAATATATTACACAAACTTGTGTGACGGAAACATGAAACACAACCAACAAAACCAGATTTTGTTTTTTCTACAAATAAAGTCATCTGTTTGCAAAATGGTAACCACAGCTCAATCAGGCAGGCGTGTCGGTGTCGGTGTGATTACGCTCCATAAACTGCAGTTTGAGATGACTTTTGTTTCATGACTCATGCTGAAGTTTGTCAGCCTGTTTCCTTCCTTATTCTTTTTGAGTATTTCTTTCCGTTTAAAGCCATTAAAGTCGAACACCTGACTAATTTCTGACTGCCAAACTGTAAAACCCTCGCAGGACAAAAGCTCTGCCTCCAGCTCGGTGTCGGTGTGAGACCGCAGCCTTGACCTGGGTGTGAGACAGAAAGGTAACATCATTGGTGGTAATAAGTGGGTGTCTTTGGCAGGAGTTGCCATTAAGCGAGTGCCAACTTGGCCGTCTGCTCGCACCCATATGACAGCAGCCATGTTGCAGTGAAAAGGTCTCTCTGGCTTTAAACCCCAAATATAATCTGAGCTCTCTATTTATCCTCATTGGCAGCCTGAAACAATGCGGGGCATGTATTATTGCGTCTATTATTAGCCTGCTGTACAGTTATTTATAAATGGACACAGCTGATCAAAGCCTTCTCAGATCCGATCCTCAGCGACTCCTGTTTCATTGTAATGGAGATGAACAACAACCCCGAGCTTTCATGCGACCCTAGAAGGTTTAATATTCAGGGGCAGGAAATGTGGATCTTTTTAATGTGTGTGTTTGTTAAAGCCTGATTACCTTTGCAAATGAGGTTATATTTGGTGATGTTTGTCTGTGAGCAGAACGGCAGAGAAATAATGAATTTAGAGGACAGATGAAGCCTGAAATCAGAAAGAAGCAGTTATGGTTTAGTGACACGGACCACAATGGAGCAGGGGTGTGCTGGTCTTGGTTGAGACCGGGGCGCTCAGAGGTGGGGTAGGCAGGAATCAGTTATAGAAGCATTTACAAAAAATCTTTTAATATCAGTCAATAGTTATTAGTTATTGATGACATTTGGTAATATATCGATATCTCTGTGTTCTCTTATGTCTGTGTGGTCAACATTTGAACATTTTTGAGCGGTCCGCTCTTTCTGACTGTAAACAAAGCCGTTCTCCGCCTCCTCTAACCTGATTGGTTGTGAGGCAGACGCTGCTCCCCCGTGTCGTTCAGGAGCCCAAACAAAGTTAGCGTGCTACAATATCGGACAGTAGAAACCAACCAGAAAGTTCGGAAAATTGTCTGAATCCTCCTTTGGCCACGACTGCCGACACAAGCAAGAAAACAAAGTAAATACCGGAGACTCTGGAGGAATAACGGGCGCTTAAAACGGAGGTAGACCGGACAAGAGCTACAAAGCCGGGTCAACATAAACCATGGGGGACGCTTGGGGATCTTGGTGACCCTGTAACCTTTCTGCTGGACAGGTAAACCGCTTTAACAAAGTAAGACAAGTGTCTGTAACAGAAGTGTTTCTTGTCAAACGGACCTGCTGTAGCGTGTTGTAGCGCCATCGCTAAACTGTCCTCCCTCGGGTCCTGGACTATGTCACTTTATTCTCGTTGTAGAAGTCCTGCAAACATTGTGTTTGCTGGTAGTCTGTTGGCATCTACAGTAGCACCAATGCTTTTGACTTTCACCTTGACTGGGCCCCTTTAGTTTGGGGCATAAAATTATGAAAATAAACCTAAAAAATAATAAAACATCTAAAGAAGTAAAAGTGATCATCATCACAGACATCTGAAATATTAATATTCTGTTTGCATGCTCATGAATTTAAACTTTAAAACCTTTAACCCCCCCCCCCCCCCCCCCAAAAAAAAAAATACATATGGGGAATTTTTCAGTGGAGTAAAAAAGACTGTAAAATACTGTAACTTTCAGCTTTTTTCACAACATTCTTGCAGTAAACCAGCATTAAAATATGATATATCTGTTAAATCTATTAAAGCGTAAAAAAAAAAAAAAGTGATTTTCTAGTAAATGTTAAAAAAGTTTATTTATTTTTGCTGAATAATATTATAGGCTATAAAACTGTAACAGTGACGTTGACTCTGTATTATTATATAACAGATTTAGTTTTTCTACAGAAGAGAGTAACTTGTTCATAACTTCAGATGGAAACAGGAATATAACCGTGTGTTTAAGATTAATAATAGGCAGGTGTTTCGATCGTCGTCCTCAGGCTCTGTTGGCAGTTCAAACAGCAGATGGATGATCTGACCAGTTATGTAAATTGAACCAGTTCTGCCTGTTTGGCTGGTTCTGTTTGGTCCAATGTTTGCCGAGCTGACATCATAATAACCTCTCTTACCGGCGCTGTCACAGTTAAGGATCTCTTCAGGCTCTTTTTTTTTTTGAGTGAGCGAGGTGAGGTGGGGACAGAAATAGATTACCAAGAATGAAGTTAGCACTGTGGTGGAGGTTGTGGTGATCATGATGACATCGTGGTGATGACAGACGCTAACACCACGTTACCCAGAACTTCAGCTGGTTTACGGAGAGACTGAGCGCAGAATCAACAATGAATGAAACATCTCTGAACCGTGTTGGTCGACATGGATCGTCTTTTTTTATAAAATTTAAACTTTTCTGCAGGTTTTGGAGAAATAAAAACGCTCCCATAAGTATGTTAATCAGCAACTAAATACAGGAGCGTTTTTATTTGTGTGCAGTCCTGTAAGTTTTTAGATGAGGTTCAAGAGCAAAATGTGTAAAATCAAATTATATGTATTATGTCCATTATAAGGAGAAGATTCTAGGGCTGGGCAGTAAACCAAAAATTTACCAATACCAGATTTACAACAATAACAGACATAATTTTGCCCATATTGGTATTTTCAGCGTCAAAAAAATAAATACATCTATCAAAGTTGTTTTTGGATGTGTGTAGGAAGGCTATGGTCTCACGTCCCTTTAAGACGCTGTCCTACGTCAGAGACGTTACTCCACCCCATCCAGTCTGTAACAAAGAGGGAAAGACAGGTGAGGAGATGGAGGACGGAGAGAAAGTTGGAGCGGCTGAAGTAGACGAAGTTAATGCGGGAGGGGGTGAGCAGCTTGTGGAGTAGTTATCGTCCATTTATCGTTATCGAGGTAAACTGATCAATATATCGTGATATTGATTTGAGGCCATATCGCCCAGCCCTAGTTGCAGTCCTACTTTATTCAAGTTAAAGATGAGGATTTGTGTTAAAACATCAACATTTACCAAAGTGTTTCTCATGCCTTAACCCAACCACACATTTTGCTCTTTATTTGAGGATATTAATTTAAGTCCATATCGCCCAGCCCTATATGAGGCCTTTGACCTGATCTAGAGATTAGTCTGACTTGCCTGAATCACAGGTAAAGAAGTGAGGAGTATAGTAGATCATTATATCTCGATATTGATTTGAGGCCGTATCGCCCAGCCCTAGTAGATTCCATCTTTATTTGTTGACAATGTGGCAGAATTACTGGTGAGTTTGAGATTCAGAGGAATCCTGTCCTGCAATCCAGGCGATGGCAGCAGGGCCGGTGAGAGTGACATAAACCTGAATTGGGAGAAATGATATCAACAATGATTGACACTGTGTTCAAAGTCTAAATACTGTCTGTTAGAACGCTCACAGTAAAATCTACATAAGAGTATTTTCTTCTTTTTCTAAGTGAGGGAGATTTCTGCTCGATTCATTTTATTTATTTGGTGCTGCTTTTTGTCATCTTAAACCCAACAAATTTACATTTATATCAGTCATTTTTCTCATTAGTTTTCTTCCTGGATATGTAAATTGAAGGTTTTTCCTGATCGAAGGTCTCCAGAGGTCACAGGCTCTGAATATTTAATAAGTAAAAGCCCAAAACGAAGGGAAACCTCGTTTACACCCCACACTCACTAACTAAACCGTCTGTGTGTCTTGATAAATGTCAGCTGGTGGAAAACATGACAAAGTGTGGCTCTGAGAGTCTGTGCAGAGATCACACACATGATGGGAGATAATGTCACGCTTTAATGTCAAACACAGTCAGTGCGGTTTACCTTTTTGACTCGCTCAGTATGGAAAACATGAGTGCATGTAGCGCGGTCTCTGCTGGCCCTGATTAAAGATCCAAACCACTTCCTGTCTTCTGCAAGGTGCGAGCTGCATCTCACTTTCAGAGCAGCAGAAGAAGAGCTCGACCTCTAGTAACCTCAGGAAGCCTCTCATACGTGGTTTCGTTTAGTCGAGTCCCAGGAGACGGTTTGAATCGCAAATCAGACGCTTTACTAATTGATGTTTTAGGTTTTTAAAATGCAAACGCTGTCCCGTCGCTCCCATCTGGCTGTGAACTTCACTTCTTATTCAGTACGGAGGACTGTGAGAAAGGTGAACGCTGCTCCTGCTGGTTTCTAGGAGGGAACAGCACAGATGGGACGACTGCAGGCGGAGCAGCTTGAAAAGCAACATGTCCAGAGATGGCGAGGGAGGGACGCTGCCAAAGATTCAACAGTCTGTTCGACCTTTAGTGCTTTCTTTTCTGTGCATGTATCAGCGGCCAGCGCTTTGGACCGTAACACAAAACATAGCATAGTGTAACTATAGCAACGGTTCACTGTCCAGAAATAACAGACCCCTGCTATCGAGTCGTGACCAATCAGAATCAACATATGTCTGCTGCTAAACATGTGACTGAAGTGGATTTCTAAATCTGTTCAGCTGACATGAATAATAAATAAATAAATGAGCTTCATTGGATAATCTGACAGATTATATCAGATGAGGTCTGACACAGTTTTCTGTGTTTCTCTCTGTTCGTCATTAACGCTCGGCCTGCTCTCCAAACTCTCGGAGTTGGACCGCTCTGAAAAAAGAAAGAGAAAATCTGCCCGTCCCGTCTGTCGCTGCCTCCCTCTGAAAAACTGTCGCACCATCCCAGACTGAACGTCTTTGTTTATTTCTCCGTTTGTCGGATATAAAGTCGATTTCCTGTCTGAGCGCTAACAGCATGTGACAAACAGGAGTTTGAGATGAGCTTTCTACGAGCACATGGTGAAGGAAAATGGAAATGTGAAGATCTGATGAGATCAGATCATCAGACTTCTTACATGGAGGCTGACTGACACGACTGAGAGCCGTTATCACCCAGCATAACACCAAAATAAACACAAACTGAAATCTGTAAATGAATATTTGATACGGACAGTTTTATTCTCAGCTGACATTCCACCCCCTCACCAGTTTGAGGCGTTAAAAATTAAGATTTAAAAACCATCAATCCTGTCAGTGATGGCTTTGTTTTTCTTTCAGAGAACATCATAGAGCATATTTATGAATTTCAATATTTTTATAACAGTGAAAAAAATTCCTTATAGGAGCTTTAAAGGTGGAGTAGGCAGGAGTCCGTTAAAGAAACATCTTTTTTTGTGGTGTATTTACAAAAATCTTCTAATATCAGTCAATAGTTATTAGTTATTGATGACATTTGGTAATATATCGATATCTCTGTGTTCTCTTATATCTGTGTCGTCAACATTTGAACATTTTTGAGCGGTCCGCTCTTTCTGACTGTAAACAAAGCCGTTCTCCACCTCCTCTAACCTGATTGGTTGTGAGGCAGACGCTGCTCCCCCGTGTCGTTCAGGAGCCTGAACAAAGTTAGCGTGCTACAATATCGGACAGTAGAAACCAACCAGAAAGTTCGGAAAATTGTCTGAATCCTCCTTTGGCCACGACTGCCGACACAAGCAAGAAAACAAAGTAAATACCGGAGACTCTGGAGGAATAACGGGCGCTTAAAACGGAGGTAGACCGGACAAGAGCTAAAAAGCCGGGTCAACATAAACGAAGCTAGCATAAACAAAGAGGAGCGTGCCTCACAACACGGGGGAGCAGCGTCTGCCTCACAACCAATCAGGTTAGAGGAGGTGGAGAACGGCTTTGTTTACAGTCAGAAAGAGCGGACCGCTCAAAAATGTTCAAATGTTGACGACACAGACATAAGAGAACACAGAGATATCGATATATTACCAAATGTCATCAATAACTAATAACTATTGACTGATATTAGAAGATTCTTTTGTATAAACACCATAAATAAGATGCTTCTTGAACCTTTAGTCAGAGAAAACCAGCTGCTCTGTGGATCTTAGGACTAACTCTGGTCCTGCTCAAGTTTTCTGCCTGTTTATCTCCTCGACACTGTAGTTGAGTGTTTGTGTAAATACACTTTATAATCTTGACTTTTACTGTCATAAAATACCTTTTTATGATTTTAAAGGAATTATTAAGAGTCACAAAGTGAAAAATGGTGACATTGAATAAGAGCAGACGTCGTCTCGTCGTCTCCACCTCCAGAATAATCTGAGGGGGTTTCCCACTGAAAACTGAGAACAACAGAAATTCACTCGTAATCGTGGGCAGATAAAATGAAAACCGTCCTCTGAAAAGGACGAGTGTCTTCTGTCAGGAGGGTCTGTGGCGGTGACAGATGACCAGGAGCGCTGCAGTTTACTCTGAACAATAACAGCTCCATCACTGAACTCATAACAACCCCGTTTCCTCCGAGGTGGACTCGTCTGCTCAGTATTATTCATTCAGGTTGGCATGTTCCTCTGCCTGAGGAGGGGTGAATCATCCTCACCGTCACTTAGCAACAACCAAATATTGTCTCCTTAATGATCAGATATTGTTAACGTTAGCTCCCACTTGTGCGGGGACAGATGCGTATATTGTGAATAAAATGGTCAGCAGAGCGTCTCCTCAGTATAAATACAGTTTTTTAAAGTGTCTGTTTGTGAGCTTTGATGAAATCTGAGATAATGACCACAAAAATAGCAAATCCTGTCATTCTCCCCGCGGTGTAGAGCCCAATTTAATCCTGACCTTCTCTCAGAATGGAAGCATATCACACACATGGATGGATTTACACGACTGGGGGTATAACATGATGTCCCTCGATATTTATACCCACGGCGAGGCTCTGTTTATTGAAAGTCTCCTTACAGGTTATAACACAAACTATTTCAGCCCTTTGACCCTCAACTGTGGCAACTTATTAGAAAAACTCGAGGCGTTCGACCTCTGAAACAAACACAATATAAATAACAATGACTCTCTCCTCCCCCCCCCGCTGTTAATCACGTCTAAATGGCAACTGTTTCTAGGACGAGGGGTCACCTGCTGCACGCCTGTGTTGGAGCCAGAGGGCCTTTTAGCCGCTCCCAGAGGAGGGCTAACGTTTAGCCTCTGTTAGCAGCTGTGGCGGCTACAGCTGTGAAGTCACCGGGGACCGAACGCCGTGCAGAAGGTCAAGGCTGCAGCAGATTAAAGACTCTGAAAAGGCTCCTGCGAATAATACTCCTGCCTTTGGCTTTTGCTGCTAAAGCTGATTCCTCCTTTCTGTCTGTCAGAAACGTCAAACGCTTCACTTCCTCTTTGACAAAGAGCGGATTTTTGCAGGAAAAACTAACCGTACACCAGGTGTTAAGGAGAGCACATGGAACGTCTTCCTTTGTGTTTCAGCTGTTGAAAAGAAGAGGATTGTGTTTCATAACAGAGCGGACTAAAAGAAATGATTTTGCTGCATAAGTTTGAGTTTAAGCTGACCGAGTTTAAGTTAAGCTAAAGGGACCATACGTCCTCTTCTACCCGGACATGTCCTCTTTTTTTGGCATCTGTCTGACCTTGTCCAGGGAAGTTTATAAAATCCTTCAAATGTCCGGGGTTTGTATGGAAGTTTTGAGTTTGTGTCACGTGGACTTACTGAGTTAGAAGCGTGTAAAAAACACTCGATCTGAACACAAAAACTCTCAAAATTATCCACGCGTGACTCTGTGACTCCGCCCCCCCCATAGTCGTGTCCTCTGTTTGGGGATTTAGAATATGGTCACCCGAAGTTAGGCCCCATGAGCGGGAGATTCGCTGGATCACAGTCTGAAGAGACAATGCTGTGTGCTAGGGCTGGGCGATAAACCGAAAATTTACTTATACTGAAATCTACGACAACGGCCAACGTCATTCTGCCCATAACGGTATATTCAGTGTCAGATAAATGAATAAAGTTAGTGTTGGATGTGTGTAGGTAGGCTTATGGTCTCATGTCCCTTAAACCCCCAATTTTTACTGCATTCAGAACAGCTCCTGCAACGGCGGCAATCTTCGCCATCCGCCAATTCCTACCAGATCTGTTGGTGAGGCAAATTTCATGGCGGTCAGCGGTAATCGCGAGAACTCACAAGAACCTGCGGATTCACGTTCAATCATGCGATAACGAGTTGTCTCTATAAAGACAGACACATAGACATATAAGCAGTAGATTGTGTCCTTCCAGAGGAGGAAATAGAACTCTTGCGATCAGCTGTGGAGTCCGGCGATCCGCAGAGGAAGAGAAAGAAGCCGGTGGAAATTGACACGTTAACTTGAGCGGTTACGATTGGTGGATACGGCTTTATCGTAGATGTTCTGGATGTGGTGGAAATTGGGGGTAAGACGCTGTCCTACGTCAGAGACGTGACTCCACCCCATCCAGTCCGTAACAAAGAGGGAAAGACAGGTGAGGAGATGGAGGACGGAGAGAAAGTTGTAGCGGCTGAAGAAGACGAAGTTAATGTGGGAGGGGCTGATCAGCTTGTGGAGTAGTTATCGAGGTGAACTGATCAATATATCGTGATATTGATTTGAGGACATATCGCCCAGCTCTAGTTTGAATTCACT